AAGGCACCACAGCCATCCTCAGCGACACGGAGGCCCTGGGCTACTCCGACAACAAGCACAGTAGGGTATGTGCCAGGAAGCAGTGTGAGGAGTTCATCCTGGAGACCAAGCAGCACATGTCTTCCCCTCCAGAGCCAGGAAGCAATGCTCGATGTGAAGACCAGAGCTTCTCCAGGAGAACCAACAGCTCAGACAGCAACTCTTAGGAGAACCCACAATGCCTCTTAATGCCTCAACCCTCCACACCTCCCTTCTTCTCCACCTATTTAGCCTGGCAACTTTCCTCAGATGGAGCATCTTTGCTCAATGCTATGCTGATGTAATCCAGCTGGCGTTAAGTTGACCACCCATTCTTAATCCATAACACAGAGATAGGAGATTGTGTGTATTACTTGTCTCTCATTGTTGGAACAAAATACCTGGTACCCGAAATTAAGGAAAGACAGGTTTTATTTAGCTCACAGTTTGTAGAGGTTTCAGTCTGTAATCAATTTGGCTCCAAGGCAGGTTGGCATGGTACAGTGGCAACAGTTCATGGCAGCAGAACATAGCAAAAGCAACCAGAACAAAAGTAGGGGAGAACAACTCTTCCTCTAAATCTTAAAATTGCATGCCAGCTCCATGCAGTCCTTTACATCCACACTATCGGGGTGACATCCTCTTGTACAGGCTCAGGATGTTTACAAAGTGAGGACCCTGCCCCCTGCTGAGTCAGGTAAACTTCTAAACTTCTCAAGCTGACAGTGTATCAACCATTACAGGGATCCTTCAGGTGTCCAAGAGGTCTGCCTGTTCTGGATCATTCCTAACACAAGCTGGACAGAACAGGGCCTGGGATCCTTTGTTCACCAATCTGAGCACTTTTGACTAGATCAAACTCTCTAGAGTAAACAGAGGAAATGTCATGGCTTATGTCAGTGGCTCCCAAGCCTCACAAATTATGAACCCAACCAAATCCAGCATTTGTGATTGGTTCAGGGTCCAGTGCTTGGATTGGTGGTGTGCCACACCCACCTAGGGATGGAGCCAGCATATGACATAAGAGCGGGAAGGTGTGTCACTCTTTGTTGTAGGTTTCTGCCTTGCTGTTTGCAGCGGTCATGAATGGCTGCCCTGCCATGCCATGCTACCTTGGAGCCGACTGAGTATGGACTGAAACCTTCAAGGACTGTAAGAAATAAACCTTTCCTTTCTTAACTTTGGACATCAGGTATTTTGTCTCAGCAACAAGTAAAAAGTAACTAACACAAGAAATAAGGCCTCAGTTTTCTTCCCTTATGGCACTTTTTTTTTTTTTTTTTTTGAGCTAGGATCTCACAAAGCCACTACATTGCCCAGGCTGGGGTTTAACTTTGATCCTCCTGCCTCAGCCTCCCAGGATGCTGGAATTACAGGGAAAATGTTTTTAGTAGGACTCCTTCCTCCCTTAACCTTATTTTTGTCTCTTCATAGTCCTTGAACTCAAGCTAATTTCTAAGAAGAAGCCTCTGTAAACTCTGTAAACACATCCTCGTATCCTCAGTTTATATAAATTGATTGACAGAAAAATAACCTATTTGGCCCCAGAAAGTGTAGGTCCACTTTTGATTAGATAAGAAAGAGGAAAAAAAAATGGTGCTAGATGAAAACAATCCACTCAGAAAACTCAGTGTGTGGAGGAGGAGGGGTCTGTCCATCATCTCAGAGAAGTCCTTTCCACGTCTATTTTGGGGGGACATACAGATTTTGAGGCAACAAAGAGTCCCCTCTACCTTCTTCAGTGCTGAGAAAGGAGATTAGGGTGTGGCAAAACTGGCTGAGGAAGTAGGCATGACCTGTTAATTATAAGACCCCAAAACACAAGAAAGAATAGTTCCTAAAACCCTGCACATGAACCTCTCAAGAGATCTCAAGCAGGTCTTCAATAGGATGGCCAAGACCTGCCATCAGCCTGAGGCATAGGAGCCCTGCACACCTGCCCTGACTCAAATGTACAAGTTCTTGTGGGTTTCCTCATGATTTGGATAATATAGCAGGACCCGGATGGGAAGAACTTGCCATCACGACTCTCCTCATGATGGCTCTTTCTGTGTCCTCCAGGGTGTACCTTTAACTTTTCAGCTCAAGCACACCCCGAGGGGACAGATTCTCCCTCACTCACTTCTACTTTTTTCAAAGAAACTTTGCTCACGTTTTTCACTTGTTTCATTCAATTCTTTGTTCAAGATGAGAAGAACCTGGAAACCAGCTGCAGAAGGGAATGGGAGTGCCACAAAATCTGGTAACATTTATCTAGAGTTATTTCTAGAAGGTGCTATCCAGTAACATAATTTGGCATGCTATTTTTAGAAGGATGACTGACACAGCCTCCTGAATATATACTTTTTCCTACTATTTCTATTTTTGGTTTCTTAAGTCTTTCAGTTGAGCAGAAGTTGGTATGAACCTTAAGTCTGGTAACACTAGTCAGACATGGTGGTGCTCCTCTGTTATTCTAACACTGGGTGGGTAAGGAGGATCAAAATTTTGAGCCTAGTCTCAGCAACTAAATGTGATCATGTTTCAAAATTAGAAATTTAAAAAAGATTAGGGAGTATTTCAGAGTGAAAATCCTCCGTCCGAACTCTCGTAACATCATAAGCCAGGATAGCAAATACTGTGCAACTGAACTTTTGAATTTGTTGATAGCTATGCCTACTCTGTCATCAAGTTGACAGCAAGTTGAACTAACAGTTAGTCTCTGCTCAAAGCCCTAGCCTCTTGGAATTTGTATTCTAGTAAACTCTTAGAGTGATAAAGGTCCAGCTTTTATTTGCATATGCCAGGAATAAAAATACAACCTCAGGGATGAGTGCAGAAAGGCACTCTGGGCACTAGATACACACTGCTCACCAACCAACCCTGCCATATCTTCTTCATCTTGCTCTTCTTCTTATTTTTTAAAGGTATAAGTAGTTAGGATTACCTGCAGATATGCATCAAGAACATCAATGAAATGGAGGAAGCAAAATTTTTTGTAGTATAAATAAGATATTTTTAAAAGTCCTCTCCCCAAAAATAAAAAACAGGATCAAAGTAGTCATGAGGGGAAAAATCAATCTTTTATTGAACTTTCTAACACTTTTAAACAACAAGTTAGTAATTTTTTCAAAATTATGAATATTTATGGGGATGTTGACGTTAAGAAAAAGTTCCAAATGGATCAGTATTGGTTGGAGGTACTTAAAATGGAGTGGTAATGTTACCAGGTTCAGGGTGCCCAGGCCTCCCCGCAGAGGCGGTTTCTAGATTTTTTTCTGTCCTGAACAGAAAAGGACCAAAACGAGGAAGGAAATAGGCTCTGTAGAGTGAGTTTGTGCTAAATGAAGGCAGAAAAAGAAGTATATTCTATACCACATGAGCAGAAAGGTCAATGGTGACTGTCTTTTTTGTGTCACCAACCCCTCAGGCTGATGTCAGATCTATGTCTATCCAGAATGGCTCCAGTTCCTTTCAGAAGTCCACGTGAGGGCTTTTGTAACTGTTCTGCACATGTGTCCTAGGATTTTACAATTACTTCCCCTGCCAGGTCTGCCAGGTCCTCATCTCCTGCCTCATGAAAGTGATTATTAATCAGACCTCAGACACTGTGCACCTGAATTTTTGAACTGGTCTGTAGCTATGCCCATCCTGGCATCAAGTTGACCTCTGAAACATTGTTAGTCTCTGCTGACCTGTACAAGGTCCCCCAAACTACCTGAGACTGAGAACACCACACCCAATCTCCTTCTTACAAAACAGCGTAACTTTTGCAAGCATCAATCATAATTCCAAATGGTGTACTGTCTCAGGTCCTTGCAGTTTAAGCTGTACATAAAACTATCATCTTGTAAAGCTCTGAACACTTTTAAAATGGCTTGAATGTATGTTTTCCCAGGTTGCAAACCTAACTAGCTCCAAATAAATGTCATTCTTTGCTTGACTGGGTTAACTTTTTTCTAGGTTGATCACAATCTTTCCCACACATAAGCCTTCTAAAGGGGCAAAGTAAATATGCAGAATTTCCACAAATGTGGTAGTACTCTCCCATAGAACCAATTTCACATTTGAATACAGCTTCCAGGTAAATAATCTCCCTTACTGAAAGGAATGCCTTGTGTTTTTCAATGCTTTGACCAAGTTCTCACGAGAAATTCCCGTGAACTGCTTAAGGGTGTGATTGGTCTTTGCTTATCAAAGGTTACATACTGGGACATCTAAACTTTCCCTGCTCAGCATTTTTTAGTTATTGTAAAGTATATTTTGTGTGGGTTGAAACATTTTCTTTTGAACTTACTAGTATTTATTGATTGCCTCTTCTGTAGCAGTGCTGCTCAAAGCGCTGTCAATATTATATTAGGTGACTAAATATTTTAAGTCCCCATTTTACAGATAAGGAAATGGAGACTGAGAGGTCAAAATACTTAGCTAATAAACGACACAAGCCTCCCTTACTAACCTTAGTAGGAGCTTATTAACCCCTAACAACTCTTGCTTTTTTCCTCAAAACCCACTTAGACCAATCAACATGCACTTATACCAATTAAAACGGAAATGAAAATGGCCAGACCTCCTATGCCGCAGTTTAGTACAGTTTATTTCTTCACAGTTATTCCTCAAAATCACCAGAAACAGGAACAAAACTCTGAGGCCTTGACACGACCCTGACAGTTAAGGAACGGCTCATCACTGGAGGTGACAATGCTTAATTGTCAGTGTAACTGCAACCTCTGAAATTTCCCAGCATCTTACCGAATCGCTCTTCCGGTCGCTGCGCCCCGGAAGTCCAACCCCCAAGCAAGGACAGTTTCCGGAAGAAAATTGACCCCGGGAAAGCCTCAATGGGATCTGGGCCTCCCGCTCTCGGCGCTCTAGCATTCCTGCACTCTATGGCTACCTCTGATTGACAGGCACCGGGCTGCAAGACTCCTCTCAATTGGATGCATAGCCTGGCGTAGGCGGGCCGTTCGTCTTTCGGCGCGCTGATTGGCTCAACCTGCCATGCGGCGCGGAGGGGTGGTACTTGGGCACGAGGGCTGAGGTGACCGGCTGCTGGCTCAGCTCAGGTGGGGACAGGCGCATGTGGGCGCTCCGTTCCGTGCTGCGGTCCGTGGCCGGGCGCACCATGTCTCAGGGGCCCGCCCGTCGCCAGCGGCCGCCCAAGGACCCGCTGCGACACCTGCGCACGCGGGAGAAGCGCGGCGCGTCCTGGGGGCCTGGGAGCCCGAACACGGTGTACCTGCAGGTGGTGGCGGCCGGCGGCCGGGATGCGGGCGCCGCGCTCTACGTCTTCTCCGAGTACAACCGGTCAGTGTGCCGCGGTCGGAGTCCGACTGAGGCTTTGTGGGGTGTCCCTTACCGACCCCCGCCCCGACCCCCTCGGGGCTTTCGGTGCGGGGCAGCCCCGGAGCACTGCGGCCGCTCCCGGGCTTCGGGTTCTCCCCCATCCACACGTGTGCGAGTTCACTGTTGCGGCGGTTCTGCTGAGTTGGCGGGTGGGGAATCCGAGATTGCTTGCATCCTTTTATAAGTACGGTTTCTGGGGATCTGTGAAGAACTTCTGACCTGAGTCTAAGCGTCCTTGTGTTTTTAGCATTCCTTGGGCCGCGGGCTGACTCTTGGTAATCACTGAGCCGCAGCCTCCTGTCACCGCAAAGCCTGGGCCTGTAGTTGATGGGTGGGGCAGACAAGGCCAGCGAGGACCTTTGGGGAGCCCCCCCCCCCCCACTCCAGGTCATACATACAAGCTCCTACTTCTCCTGGCCTCTGCTAAGGACGACCCCAAACTTTCCATCCTAGTGGAAACGCTGCTTGGGTTGTACAACATTGACTTTTAGTTGTTTGATTCAGAGTCTACCAAAATGCATCTTACAGATGTCAGAGATTTTATAAAATAGATTTTTCTATTATGTTCTTCTGATAGGTATCTCTTCAACTGTGGAGAAGGTGTGCAGAGACTCATGCAAGAACACAAGTGAGTCAACAATTTGGATTTGGGGTGGAGATAATCGTGGGGCTCGTAAGCCTCTGTGAGAGGCAGGAGTGTGTTTATAGCAGAAGTGGTCAGTGGCCAGTCCATTTCATCCTGCTGAAATGTTTTCTTTCTCTTAGACTGAAGGTTGCTCGCTTGGACAACATATTTCTAACACGAATGCACTGGTGTAATGTTGGGGGATTGTGTGGTGAGTATACTCTGGTGGATCAGAGATTGGTGGAAGCCTCTGGAATTTTAATGTACCTTATTTTAGCCTTCTCCTGAGCCCAGGGTAGCTGGAATTCTTTTAGTACCAGTCGAGTTGGCTGCAATACAGAGCATCAAAAGTTGTGACTCAGAAGAGCACATTTTACCATGGAATTGCATCCAAGTGTTACCAATCACTTGATGTGTTGGATTGCTCCGTCAGAGCATTAACTGGAGGAGAGTTTAGTGGTGGGGATGCAAGCATACGTATTTATGATGAACGCCATCAGTCACATATAGACATCTACTACCAGATTATTCATGTTCATCACCTGGGAAGGTTGAGGTTGTATTGCATTCAGACCCTGTAATCTTACTGATGTGGACAGAAAGGAATGGAGTACTGGGCTGATTCTGATTTTGAGAGCTGAGTGTGGGGTGTGGGTTGTGAAGTGCCTAGGAAACAAAATATAAAGGAGTCCCCTCACTTGTACCTTCTATAAGAGTGGTGCTTCACTACATTTTGCATACCAGGTGCTTCGCTGCCTCAGAAGCCTGGGGGAGGGCGTTGTATTCCTTACATCTCTAGTTAGCATCACTTCTGCCCTGCATTCATGGCCTGATGGCTGTTTAGAAGCTGAGTGAAGACACAGAGGAGTAACTACATAAGGCAGTAGTGCTTCTGCTCCTGCAGAAACCACAATTCAGGCTGGTGAATGACCTCATTCTGCTTGTTTTCTTTAGGAATGATTCTTACTTTAAAAGAAACGGGGCTTCCAAGGTGTGTCCTTTCTGGACCTCCACAGTTGGTGAGTCTTTCCTGACTACTTGTCAAAAGTAGCTCCTGCTTTTTCAATATAAGTAATAAGAAATTTCTTTTCTTTTGTGTTTTTTTTTTTTTTTTTTTTTTTGGTACCAGGAATCGAACTCATGACCTGGCACTTGCCAGGCAGGTGCTTATGCCCCTGAGCTAAATTCCCAGCCCAAGAAATTTCATTTTTGCATATCAGTTTTTTGTCCTTTACTGGTACTAAGCACTTTACCTTTCAAGTTAAAATAGACCTGAGTTCAAAATGTAATGAAGTGTGTGATCTGGAGTGAGTCACTTTGCCTGTCTGAGCTTTGGTTTCTTCATCTGTTAAATGGCTATACTGTAATGTTTTGTAAAATTGTTGAAGATCAGAAGAAGTGACTGGGGATGTATCTCGGTGGTAGTGTGCTTGCCTAGTATGCACATGGCTCACAGTTCAGTCGCCAGTACCACACACACACTCACACAAAGATCAAATGAAATAACACAGCAATACGTCAGTTTACTAGATGTTTGGTGCCAAGGAAGTACTTAATAAATAATAGCTATTTGTTTTATTTACTTGTTAAATAGCAGACATTTTCATACCAGTCACCGAGGCCTGTTAATTCTGCTTCCAAAATAAGGCCTCAAGTCCATCCATTTATCTCCATCGCCTTGAGGTCTTCATTCTCTACCATACCTGTCTGCCACAGTAGCCCTCTGTATCTGCCCTTAGTCCCTTCTGATTCATCTGCTACCTAGCAGCCTAATGACCTCTTTAAGGTATAAATACACATGTCATTTCCCACCCTGAAACATTTCAGGGGTCCTGCACTGTAATACCACCCACATGACTCAGTATGGTCTACAGGTCCCATAAGCACTGGTGCTCACCCACACTTCTGTATATTTCATCAAGCTGCAGCCACAGGCCCCGTGTTCCCTGCCACCTCTCACCTCCCAGCCTCTGTCCTTACTCAGCATCCCGAGATCCGCTAACAAAGTTTTTGTTGCCGTTTGTTTCCATTTTGTCTACTCCCTTGTTCCTGAGAGCTAGGACTTCACCTGCTTTGTACAGCTAAGTCGTAGGCACCTTAAGTGTGTGGTGGACATGCAGATATTTGTAGAGATACATTTCAGAGTGCTTATTGAAGTTTTTTTTTTTTTTTCTCTTGATATCCACCCCACTTACATACATGAATTCATTGCTGTGTTTGGTATTTTTTTAACTACAAATGTTACTTTATATTTTTTAGGAAAAGTACTTAGAAGCAATCAAAATATTTTCTGGTCCATTGAAAGGAATAGACTTGGGTATGTTCTCAACTGTGATTCATTATTTCATATTTCTTTCTCATGTATACTGTGCTTTTCAAACTAGAAGCCATTAAACTTGCCTTAAGGAGGCACATGCTTGTAATCTCATCTCCTTGTGTGGCTGAGGCCGATGATTAACAAGTTCAAGGCCAGCCAGAACAATTTAGAGAGACCCTGTCTCAAAATAAAAATAAAATAAAATAAAAGGGCAGGGGATTTGCTGAATGTAGAGTGCCTCTGGGCTCAGGCCCCAGTACCACAAGCTCACTTAGGTCAGACTTAAAATCAAGTGCTCCATCAGCATTGAGATGGATTTCAAAATAACTGCTTTGTTGCCCTGCCTGTGCTCCCCCTGGGGACACAAAGTTACTGGCTAAGAGGAAAGCCAAGAATATGTTACAGTTGTTATTTTCTAATTATTTCCTGGGAATTTTTTTTTTGATAGAAGAGTACTTTGTATATTTTCTTGATTAATATCTACTTGTATTATATTAACATAAAAAAAAGGCAACTGTGTACCTGCAAGTGTGCTAGGGGTGTGACAGTGTTTATTCAGGCCCTGAGGCTCCTTCCCCAGCCCAGGAAGTGGTTCTTGTGCTTTTTCTGTGCAGTAGGTAGAGAGGGGGGCAAGGGTTTTGCAGCCACCTTTGTAACTAAAACTAAGGTCCCGTGAGGGGGGCCCACAGCCTCTGAAGAGAAAAGGCTTAGCCTAGGTTGCCTGTAGGTGCATCTTTGGCTTATTATTTCTCCTCTTTATAGACACATGAGTGTCTTATTCCGGAATGTAAAGCAGCCCAGACAGTTGAGATGATAGATTGTTTGACTTCTCAATCCAGTTAATTCAGAGCTCTTAAATTGGAATATGTTAAGTTCCCGATCTACAAATGAGTTCTCTTTCGGGAGGACGTTCATAAGGCAGATTCATCTGTAAGTCCAACAGGGAATCTTACACACCTTGCACATAGATCACACCAGATTCGAGGTCCGATCCTATCGGTGAAAGTCAGAGACTTACTGTACAGTATTTTTTTCTGTGCTTCCTTTTTTAATGGATTCTCTGCAGTGATCATGTCTCTGCATTTGATTGTGGTAAATATAAATGATAAAAATGCACTTTTGTCTCTTCATAATGTTAATCTGCTCAAAAATTCTGGTTTTAAAGTCAGATTTCCACCAAATTTCTGAAGCAGTTGAGTTTTTTGTGGTTGTCTTGAAAGTCCCTTTTCACGTCTGTACTGACGCGGTCACTTTCCTAACTTGTGACTTTTCTGTAGCTGTGCGGCCCCACTCGGCACCAGAATACAAAGATGAGACCATGACGGTTTACCAGGTCCCCATCTACAGTGAGTATGAAAGCCAGGTTCCCAGGAAGAGCAGGGTGCGGCTAAAAGCAGAAACTGTTAGCCTGCTTGCTGTGGTGTTGTGTCCTTTGCATGCTTAGGACGTTTAACTGAAGAGCTTACGGTCTTGTGAACAGTTGCGTACTCATACCTAATGACAAGTGATCTTGCTTTGGAACATTACTTAATTAATTGCTGTCAGAAAGCAGCCTGCACTCAGATTGGCTTATTCATTGCTTAGAGGTTTGCTTGCCACAGATATAAATACCCTCTTGATAAGGAGGGGTTTGTTCAGATTGAACACAATGCAAGAAAGAATGTTACCAGGTCTGAGAAGCTCCAGCAAAACCTATCAGGTGCGAGGGTCAGATGATGATGTTTTGACTTGGAACAAAGCTCTGTTGGTCATTGTGGCACTTGCGTCTGAACAGGTGATCAGAGTGAAGTTTTATCCGCATGGGAAGAGCAAACCTTGTAGTAGTAGGAACCTTTAGCACTAACTAGTATGAGCTTCCCAAGTGCTAGAAGACCACAGACAAAAGCATAAACCCCAGAGAAATCCAGAGGAGATTCAGAAATTAGCAGACCTGTACTAATCTCAGCATTTGGGAGGTTGAGGCTGGAGGATGATCGTGAGTGTGAGGCCAGCCTGAACTACACAGCAAGAACCCGTCTTAAAAAATTCAAAACAAAACAGAAAAGCAAAGTGCTTTAGGTAGAAGGCAGTGGGGCTTGAGCCATGGCACCAGTGTTCCTAGGCCAGGAGATGGTGGTCTGAGCAGACTCCTCCCAACCTGGCTGCGTCCTGGCGAATGTCTTACCCTGACCTACACGCCCTCCGCCCCCTGCGGCTCCCTCTGGTTTCGGTCTGGCTTCTCCAGCTCTCCTGCCTCCCTCCACAGCACTTGACAGTTCATGTGTCTTTGTGTGGTCACCACTTAGCTGACTTTGTTTGGCGGCTCATCGAGTGACTCTGTTGAGCCCAGACAGTGCTTCAGCTTCTCTGAGCAGCCCTCTTTTTCATTTTGCTTGACTGTGATTTCACTGCCCAGTTAAGCTCCTGCACATGGAGGTGGGTACCCTTTGGACCTGTTTGTTTTCTGTAGCTGACGATCATGAAAGAAGCAGCCTTGAGCCTGCATGCTTTTCCATCAGCCAGCACCGCTGAGTCCTGCCTACGGACAAGGCTGTGGGCTAAGCAGAACGGGAGAGATCAGTGAGGTGCAAACCGCCTCACATTTGAGACGCTGCTGTGTAAGAGGGGTGCGATCTGATCAGGCTCCTGGCCTCCTGCGTCCGGCTGCCTGGCCTGTGGCTGTGAGTTCCCCTGGGATGGTGTGTAATGTGCTGGCTTCCTGTGCCTCCCAGGTGAGCGGGGGCTTGAGGAGCACCAGCCCTCCCAGAGCCCGGGGACGTCCCCCCACAGGCTCAGCCCCGAGCTGTCCTCCGACTCTGGGTCAGCGGCTGAGGAGCAGCTCCTTCCAGATGCCAATGGTGTTAACAAACTCCACTGGAAAGGTACTTGCATTTCTTTATGCTTTGCCCTCATTTAAGTTAATTTACTTTTCATCGATAAAGTAGTAACTGTGTGTACTTAAGGGATACAAAGAAACGTCTGATCCTTGTAGAAAGGCTGAATCAAGCTGTAGTCTCACCAGTTATATATTTTTGTGTTTAAGGACAGAAACTTTGTACACTTCAATCACCATTTCCCTTTCCCCATTACTCCCCTACTCCCGGCTTTTGGTCATCTTTCTTTTTTTGAGGCAGGGTCATGTAATTCAGTGCATAGGCTGACCTTGCCCTCACAGGGATCCTGCTGCCTCAGCCTTCCAAGGCGTGGGATTTACGGGCACACAGCAGCACACCTGGCTTTCTGGTCACCTTTCTACTCTGTTTTTATAACCTCAGCATTCTTAAATTCCACATATAAATGAAATTGTTTTCCTGTGCCTGACTTACTTCACTCGCATAGCAACTTCCCTTTTTACCCGTGGTGTTGGAAGGGACAGTTCTTTGCCTTAATACTGTTTTATGTGTTTTTTTTTCTTTTTGTCTTTTTTCTTTTTTTTTATTGGTACCGGGGATCGAACTCACGACTACCTGCTTGCAAGGCAGGCGCTTATGCCGCTGAGCTAAATCCCCAGCCCTAATGCTGTTTTATGTGTACAGATACTTTTTCCTTGGTTCATCATCTCGGAGACACTGAGAAGGGTTATCAGAAAGGTGACAGTACTGATCTTTAAAGGTTCTGGGTAGCCCTAAACTGGTGTTCGGTTCACCCAGAAGGAAGCAGAGCCCAGCAGACTGGATGAAAGAGGCCTTCGTGGATGCTGCTGGGAGGCCAGTGCAGATGAGTTTTCCAGTAACCGGGAACTGTCAAGCCGAGCACTGTGTTAGTGAATGGCTCCAAACCTGGTCTTTCTGAATGACATCTGACTGGGATCTAACAATAGTCGGAAACCCGAAGGAGCCACAGGATTGTGCTGCCCAAGGGCTCTGTTGTCCAGTGCCGGGCAGAGCTCACTCAGTCCCCCTGATCCTGAGGTTACGTGGTCTGGTGACCCAGTGAAGACAGCCTTCCGTGCCACTGTCTTCGGCCAGCATGGGATCAAGGCTGTCATTTATGTCCCTCCCGCTGGCCTTCCAGCTTTTGTCTTGTTGGCATATTTTGTTTATAAATCATATTGCAATTTATTTTTTGCTGTCTTCACTACTAGGTAAAATGAGTCCCTTACAAAGAGTTCCTTGTGAAGATTTTCTGGCTGAAATTGTGCATTTTTTACTTACTCGACATAAGCAGGATAAAAAGGAAGCTGACCTGCTGAGGAATATCAAGGTCTTCTTCCTCTTTTGTGTTGGGAGGCTGACGTCCATTTAATTTTATGGATCTACATATATTTGTATATACGTATATATTTGGTGCCAAGAATCAAACTCAGGACCTTATGCCTGCCAGGCAGGTGCTTTGCCCCTGAGCTGTATCTCCCACTGTTTAATTTTATAGAAAGTAAAATTAGGTATTAAGTGGTGTGAATTTGTGATGCCCCTGCACCCATCAGCTTGTTATAATCAACTGTGTGTTCCCTCAGGTGTTAACCAGAAAAAAAATGGCAGGGACCCTTCCTTGGTTGTGGCTTTCATATGCAAGGTAAGTGTGTCTCCAGAGACTGGCTGGTGGCCTGGCTGCTGCTGGGGCTTGGAACCTGTAGGTAGCACTGTTGCGGTAATTTGAAGATAACAGCTCCTGAGTTACCTTGTCCAAAAAGTACGGACCCCACTTAGGTTCATATCCCTTTGACCTTGGTCTCTTCTGTGTCTGCGTACGCATTTTATGCTTGCCTGTGATTGGCTCTCCGGGAACTCAGAGTTAGCCGGGCTTGACTTGTTTTCCTCCTGCTCAGTCAGGCTTTTATTCAGATTCCGGACTCCCTCAATTTTGTTCTAATTTATTTCACTGCACAGTAGTAATGAAGGTATTACCATCAGGTAAATTTTAATACAGTGTTATTAAAAGCCTAGATCTGCAATCTGAAATTGGTCAAATTCCATTACGAATGCTTATTACATCTGGAATGGTGACACACAGCTGTAGTCCCATCACTCTGCGCTCAGCCTGACAACCCCGTCATCCGGTGAGACCTGTCTCCGAAAACAAAAAGGGCTCGTGATGCAGCTCAGTGCCAAGGCCCTGGATTCAGTCCCGAGTACTGGGTGGATGGGGAGATTTTTATTCTAGTAGGCTATTTTAAAAATCTCACTAATGACCTACTTTTAGTGGGACTTAGTTAAAATATTTTTATAATCTCTAGCAGGTATTTTTGCTTAATTTATGGTAGGACTACATCATTCTTTTGTGGGCTTTGATGGGCAGGCTGTTAAAATAATGTTAATTTTAAAATATATTTGGAATTTAGTTATTGTATCATTGCCAGTATCATTTCTGTCAGTGTGTGTGAATGAAAGTTGTAATTTTTATAGAAGTACAGTTGTCAGGTATTCCCTGGGGGGTTGTGTTTTAGACTGCAAAGTAATGTTTCAAGCTGTTTTTCCCGGCAGCTTTTCAGTTGTCAGGCACTCTGCACTCGGCCGCTGCAGGAAGTTCCTTCCTTGCGGCCTGGCGCCGCTGCTGAGGGCTGCTCTCGCACAGTGAGCCTGCAGCACCCCGTCCCTCGTAGTTCATTTGCTGCTTTGTAGTGAGGTTTGGAAAGCAGGGCGCCGAGCTATTCAGGTTCTGGGAGGCCGGAGAAGGCAGCTCTCAGCGCAGGTCCTGAGAAGCCCGTCAGGGAGCAGCGTGCCATTTAGACCACTCTCGGCTGGCTCGTGGGTCTTCCTGGCCGTGTGTTCTCATCTCTCTGTGTCTGCACTGTCTACTTTCCGCATTCAGGAACAGATCCGGATGGGTAAATCAGCGTGCTTAGCTGTGCAAATGCCTCTTAGCATTGAAAACATTTGGTTTCATCGGCAGACCCACTTGAGTATTCAGGGTGCTGATTTTCTGTAGTGCCTGCTAATGTCACCCATAGGTGACAGGCACACACTGAAGCTGCGGTTCTTCATCTAGGACGAGGTTGCACCTCCCTCTAGGACAAGTTTTCAAGATGGACGGAAAATTCTAGAATCATGAGACTGATACTCGGGATCCAAATTTGAGGCTTGATTCTACGAGTAACTACTTAACTTCAGAAAGTTAAAATGGAACGCAAATCCTTTATCCGGATTTAAAGAAAAAGACAAAGATCATTTGTTAACATCTTAATGCCATTTTGATGTTTGTGTTGTACGTGAAATGTGTGGACCCTAAAAAGACTTTGACAGGTGCAGATGGTCATGAGGCTTTGTGACAGGACTGCCGTTTGCCCTTGTCACGTAGTAAGAGCCTGCTGGGAATTGGTCGTTATGATATAAAAGCAACAAGGGCACATTGCCAAATATTTGAAAAATCTAGAAGGTGAAAAACCCATCTCTTCTTTTGTTACGCTGTCACTGACATTGGAACACTGTCACTCAGCACTTTGCCTGGTCATTGGCTTGTGAGTGCTTTAGTGGCATTCCTTCAGCTATTGATGGATGAATGTGGAATGATCAAGCACGATCTGTGTATGCTTGTGTTTCTCCCAAAGGGACCTGAGGATACTTTCAGTTTTGATATGGAAAAACATGCAATTTTTACTTTTTTTTTTTTTTTTTTTTTTGAGTCGGGGCCTCGCCAGGTGGTTAGGCTGGGCTTTATTCACTGTGCGTTGCAGGCTGGCTCCAAACTGCAGTGATTGTCCTGCCTTAGCCTCTCCAGTGCTGGGACTGCAAGTGCGTGCTACCATACTCAGCAAAATTTGTTACATTTATAGTGAGTTAATGTCGGGCAATAAAATACCGCTTTAAATTATTTAGGTTTTAGTTCTAAACTGTTCCTTCCAAAATTGTGAAACAGTGAATTGCATTTTAATTGTAATAAAGTAATGTTAATTTGAAAAACAGAAAGATGCACTTCTGAGGCAGTTGACTAAAACCAAGCTTCCTCATCAGCTGCTGGAGTTACATCTGCGTCCCCTCTGTTACAGCTTCACTTGAAGAAAGGAAACTTCCTGGTGCTCAAAGCCAAGGAACTGGGCCTCCCAGTGTGAGTGTCGGGTGAGGCTGTCTGTCGGGACTCGCGGGTCCTCACTGTGAGTCCCCACTGCTCTCCAAGGGAGCACGTCTCTCAGGGGCCTTGCCTCTTCCTTTCAGAGGGACGGCTGCCATTGCGCCCATCATCGCTGCTGTCAAGGACGGGAAGAACGTCACCTACGAAGGGAGAGAGGTGAGTCACCGGTCTCCACGGGGACTCGGCACTTGTGAACACCGGACGGGACCACCATCTAGTGCAGGCGCTGCTGACCCCACTTACAAAGCGCGTGGGGCAGCCTGGAGTCCTGCACTTGTCTGTGCAGCGAGCTCTTACCTAGACGTGTCCTGCTCAGCAGCACTGCTGTGTTAGGGCGTCCTCTAGATTTTCCTGCTGGGGATTGGTGGTCATCCTACAAGCATGGATCCTTTTCTTTGTACTTGAGATCAGGGCCATATTTATTTATTGTTTTGTTTCCTTTTGTTTTGTTTTTGTACCGGGGATTGAATTCATGACCTCAGGCTTGTCAGGCAGGCACTTAAGCTGCTGAGCTAAATCCCCGGCAAGGGCAGTATCTAAAAACACTGTCAGTACATTTATAGATGTATAAATGACATAGTCCAAAAGAACCCCCTGTGATTTTTTTTTTTATCTTTTTCTGTTTGGGAGTGTGTGTTTGTGTGTTTTGGTATTAAGCCTGGGGCTTAATTTAAGATAAGAGTTGGTCATGCTGTGCTTGAATTTGTGATCTTCCTGTCTCAGCCTCCTAGAACGCTGGGTTTATAGGTGTGTACCACCAAATCCAGTGTTTGCCAATATGTTGTTTATCAAGACTTTTTATAGTTTCTCAGGCTGTGGGGACCAGTGACTGCAGTGTCTGCCTTTGAAATGTCCCTGTAAGCCAGACAAGTATAAACAGAAAGCAGGAAGGGTGAGGTGGTGGCTTGTCGGAGTCTTGTGGACCCGGGGTGTGTAGTGTGAGCAGCTGTTTTGATGGCCAATCGGTCAGGGAGAGCCTGATGGCCCCTAAGCTAGCCTGCTTGGTTTTACAGATTTTAGCTGAGGAGCTCTGCACGCCCCCGGATCCTGGTCCTGCCTTTATCGTGGTAGAGTGTCCAGATGAAGGGTTCATCCAGCCCATTTGTGACAATGCCACTTTTAAGAGGTAAAGATGAGGGTCTGCGGGTGGCAGAAGTGAGTGTCTGCATGTGCTTGGGGAAGCCTCGCTCAGCAGGGCCCCAGGGTTTCAGGGACTGAGCTGGGTGTCGTGGAAGCCCATGGTCCAGGTGTCAAATCTGTGTCTGTCCATGCTCTTCGTAGGGTTTATATCCCTACTGGTAGTTACACACAGCCTTGAGAGAAAACATGGAAAATCACAGCCACCAAGGACTAGAACATTAATTGGGATTCTTAAAGTTCTAAGTCTGGAATACATTCTAGAACCTTCTTGAGTTCTAATTCATCGTTATTTGGATTGCTTTTGCCTATGTGAGTTTCCCTCACTTACCCACACCCAGCCTAGAGGTAGTAGGGCAGACTGTTGGAGACTGTGGTCACGAGCCTGTGTTAAGGGACAGACTCACGCTGGGAACGTCCTCTGTGCTGAGTGTCCTTCTGTTTTGTCCCATGGAAAAGTTAGCCAGTTCTGGGGTGAAGTTTAAGGCAGGGTAGAATCTCCCATGCATGCATCTTGGTTCTAAGCTTTTTCCCAGGGCACAGCACTTTGCAGCACAGTCCCCATGTGGGGACTGATGTGGCCTGAGTTGTGTCCCGTTATAAAGTAGAGATCCATGCGCTCTTCCTTTGTCTAGGTACCAAGAAGAGACCAACGACCCTGTGGCCGTGGTGGTTCACATGGCCCCAGAATCTGTGCTCTCAGACAGCAGGTACCAGCAGTGGATGGAGAGGTATGGAGCCCAGCCAAGCAGACACGGGGCAGCTCTTCTGAGTGGTGACGTACCTGCTCACGGATAAGTGCTATCTACCCTCATTTCTGCTTGCCAGCATTTTCTCTGGGAATCCTGCCCTATAATTCCTGGAGGTGCCTGTCACAGTACCACCGTGTAGGATAGAAAAACCACCACGAGATGGCATAGTCTATACCTGCAGCCCACTGTCGCAGGGCTTGATTTCACATCACATATATCCTTTCTACTCTCCGTGGCTTCTGAACCAGAGCTGTCTTTTGACTGATGATACCACATGCATCTCCCAAGTCAGAGACTTGCAAATATGAAATAATAGCTTGTACTTATTGAATGCCCACCGTAGATCAGCTAGTGTGTTAAATACTACATGTATCCTGTTCTTCCCAGCGAGTGTGAGCTAAATGTTGTACAACAGTATAGTACCTGGGAGGAGAGCGTGCTGTGTTCTCGTGGCTTCCATGGTCGTGTCCACCACATGGGTGAAGACGTCTGGCACTGGTGCCCTCAGATTGCCTGTCTGCGCCCGCTGCTCTGTGCCCTACATAGCTCCTTGTCCCATTCCTTGAGGGTCTGAGTCCTAACACAGTCTGTTTTCTCTTGTGACTTTTCCTTTTGATCCCGCACTCTATCCTGTCTGCAGTTCCCTATCTGCACATCTTCATTTTTCTTGGATTTTGCTTCCTCTTTCCAGCTGTGATAGGGAGAGAACACTGGACCGTGAGACCAAAGAAGCAGAATTATGCTTACACGTTCAGTAACTATTCGGGGCCAGCAAGGGGTGTCTGTGAATACTTCATCTATGTTAGGGCTTCTGGTCTCCACCCTGCCCCTTGGGTATCCTTGGTCCCTAATGCGTGCAGTCAAGGTCCGGCTGGCTTTAACGTAGGTTTGGGCCTGACACCCAGCACTTGATCCTGAATGAGAATTGTGCCTCAGTCCACAACCTTCGCAGCCACAAGATTCAAACCCAGCTCAACCTCATCCAGCCGGACATCTTCCCTCTGCTCACCAGTTTCCACAGGAAGGTAATGTTCCATTGCAGCCCCTGGCCCCCACCCCTGTCCTGTGGGCACTGTTGAGTGTGTTCTCGTCTCTTTCAGGAGGAAGGCCTGGCCCTCGGGGTGCCCACCGTCCGGGGTGAATGCCTCCTCAAGTACCAGCTGCGTCCCCGGCGGGAGTGGCAGAGGTCCGTGCGATCTGAGCCAGCGCAGTTGTCTAGTTTGGGCGGGCAGCCTTCGGGTAAATAACCCAGTGGCGGATGGTTCAGGGAGCCCTCGAGGCCGTGCGGTCTGCGTTGTAAGTACTCAGCTCGGCCACCAGAGCCCAGCAGAGCCCCAGACAGCACGTAAATGAGGGGCTCTGAGCCTGACCCTTGTCTGAGTAAAGCTGGGAGATTTGGGGTGAGCAATTAGCCTTTTCAGAACTTGTTTCCGTGGTAACAGTGGCAGTGATGATCCTTTTACAGAACAGGAAATGAACGCTCAGGGAAGTCACCCTCATCCTGTCACAGAGTAAGGGACTTAACCTTAGATTCATGTAATGGGATGGATTTCAGATGTGTGGGTGTGAGGTAATGACTTGGTGTCTTATCAGTGTTTTAATGCATCGTTAGTGTCCAGTAAAAGGGCTTTTATTGGTGTGTCAGTTACAGCCCTTTGCTCGTGCTGTGCGGAGCTCAGGCTGTTCAGATATTTCCAGTGTTTCTCTCTTCTATGAAAAAATGAATGTATATAAATCTTAACTAGAACTCCGTCCCTAAATGCAGTCTATAAAGGTGTGATTACGAGGTCAGGGTGTGATAGTTCTTCAGGCCCTGGAGGGTGAAAAGTGCCCCGCAGTTGTATTTTACTCTTTGAGCTCTGAATCTGGACTCATTTAAGTTCCCCGGCCACTCCACCGTGTCAGTGTTGGGGGAGACCGTGATCCGGGCTGTGACTGGGCACGGTTCACAGTTGCAGTTGGTTGGCTGGTGCTCCCAAGGGCCCTCTGTGTACGGAGACGCGGCCCACAGGCTGAAGGGCCTCCTGCTTCCTGTGTCAGCGCCTGCCAGGCAGTGACTCAGCCAGCCAGTGCTCAGACTCACCCTGGCTTGGGAGACCTCCCCCAGACCTGTTGGAACAGAATCTTGAGAGCTGGCTTGGGTCTTCCTTCTTAAGATCCTGGTGACTTTAAGAGCTAACCTTCCCAGGGGTTGCTGCTCAGGGCAGTAGGACAGAAATGCCCGCATCCCTTCCGTGGTAGGTTCTCAGGCCCCTTCCAGAGCTCCCGAGTTGGTTTGTATTTTGTCAAGGTTCCCAGCAATTATCTCTCCGTATGCAGCTCTCTAGGGCCCTGCTTCTCAGCGGGAGCCACTTGGCAGTGTCTAGAGGCCTTTTTTGGCCACTGTAGTGGGGATGGGGTAGTGGTGAGGAGAGGATAGCTCCCAGCACAAATACTTATCTGGCCGTAGCATCAGTAGTGCCAGGCTTTGAGGCTGAGAGGCTGTGAGGAGTTCAGGCTACTGACGCCACCCTGAGATACCCCATGTAGCTGAGGAAGGTTCCAGAGGCAGCTAGGTTTGGAAGGCAGGAAGGCTGCTGGAGGAGGGCTTTGCACCCAAACCCTTGGGTTGATGCTCTGTGTCCAGGCCAGCGCTTGCTAAGCCCCCGCACCACGTTTTGCGCACTGGAAACGCCTCTCTTTGCAGGGATGCCATTCTCACTTGCAACCCTGACGAATTCATAGCTGAGGCCCTGGAGCTTCCCAATTTCCAGGAGAGTGTGCAGGAGTATAAGAAGAGCGTACAGGACGCCCCAGCCTCCACAGGTGCGTGGGACACCCCAGGCCTCCCTCTTTCCTTGGATCCTGCCACCTCCTGTGGCCCTCACAGTACAGAGCAGTGTGTTCTTGGGCACTGTCCAGCCTACTTTATCTGTGTAACCCAGGGCTCTGTACTCTGTCTCTGCAGTAGAGGCAAGCCTTTGGTGTGAGGTGGTGGTGTCCCAGACGCCCGCATCCCACCCAGGACCAATTTTGTGGTGGTGTCCATTCTTCACTGCTGACTTGAGGTCTAGTCCTGAGTCGGTTTTAAGTGTCCACAGCCCACAGCATATCTGGCCAGCTCCGTCACTTCCTTGGCTTTTCCTCATCCCTTCAGGAATAATAGTGAATGTGTGCCTGTGTCTTTGAGGCAGGATTCCACTGCAGTTGAGGCTGGCTTTGAACTCACTTTGTAGCCTAGGCTGACTTCGAACTTGCAGTGATCCAACTGCCTCAGCCTCCCCAGTATTTGGATTATAAGCATGCACCACCAAGCCCAGTTAGCAGACAGTGAATTTTGTGACCTCTGTGCATACTGGTTTTTCCTGCGATATTCAAAGAGAGTGCCAGAACAGGACGAGGGTTGGGGTTTTAGTAAGCCAAGTGGCTTTTCAGCAGACTTGCCTTCCTCCGGGAGGCGAGCAGCAGGCCAGCCGCAGAGGCAGGCCGACCTCACCGCCTGTGCCCGTGTCTTCGGGAGGTGGACTTCCCCTGTGCAGGACCGCTGTCTGAGGTGTGTGCTAGACGCGCCTGTTGGGCCAGGTAAGGGTGAGAAAGGGACACGAGTCACTCAGCCCCTCTGGATGTGCCTCCCGGCTCTGCCGCCTCTTCCCTGTGGAAAGCTGGTCCGTGCGTGCTGGGTGGCCCAGGCTGGCCGTGAGCTCCAGATCCTTCTGTCTCATCACAACAGGCTACCGCTTTTTTTTTTTTTAAGGAAGGACTACAGAATGTATCTGTTCTCCTTTCCAGTGCACCCCTTCCTTGCAGACAGCTGGATGGTCTCATACTGATGAGGAAACCCGCTCTGGGAAGGCGAATGCCAAGGTCCCTCCTGGAAACTTGGACTTAGCTTTATTGCTTACCTGTCATGGCTAAGTGCTGGCTCACTGTTTGAGGCTACAAAAGGGAAGAAGGCCCACTTCTCCCCCCGGACATGCTAGCTAGGGTGACAGGCTCCTAGGGCGTTGTGGTGTTGTGATTTCATGTTAGTATGGTCAGTGTAGCAGCACTTCTGTTTGAAAAGTAAGTGTTGGCTGAATTTTGATTTCCGGCCTCAGAAACATGAACTACTGTACATGTGTTTTCCACAGAGAAGAAAAACCAGTATCCAGAAATCGTCTTCCTCGGAACAGGGTCTGCCATCCCGATGAAGATTCGGAATGTCAGTGCCACGCTGGTCAACATCAGGTAGGACTGCTTTCCCCAGACAGCAGCTGCCCAGGTGACACTGACCTTCCCAGCACAGAGTTCCGCTGCACTCAGCAGGCTGATCCGGAAACACAGAGCCCAGGAACCTGTCGTCTCCAGGGTCCCGGAGGACTGTTCACGGGCCTCAGTCCCTTCTGTGGCCTCAAGCTAACTTCCTTCCGGGAGTCAGTAACACTTACCGCATAATGACTCCAATTAAAAAAAAAGAGCCAACACCACTGCCTGCTTTGCCCTTGCTAAGATTTTCTCACTTCATTTGCCCACCAGTTCTATGAAGTGGTAAAGAATTACCCATTTTACTGATTGGTAAACTGGTGCATAGAAAGACTTCTCACTTTAGATCCATAGCGCATGAAATACAAGTCTAAAATTTCCAGTGGTACCCTAACTGCTCCACTGCGTTGTCCCTGTAACTCCTTATTGGCGGTGTGGTAAAGAGCTTTTGGGCTCTGTACATTGATTTTGTGTTCATCCACCGTCGGGGATTCCCCTGAACATTCTGCGTTTTAGTTGACTGTTTTGGGTTTGCTTGGGTCGTCTATCTGCAGAGAGAGTAATCGGGGCCGCATAGATGTTGATGGTACCTCTGCAGGGGGAAGGAAGATCCAAATACCAGTTAGTCTAAGTGTCACTTGTCGCCTTAGATGCTAGTGATGGAGAAGTGCCAGCCAAGGAACGCAGCGACCCACAGTGACAGGATACAGCCTGAGATCGGAGGTCTGCTTCTCAGGACTTTCCTATGACTGAGAGGTGCAGGGTGACTGCTAGCTTGCTTTCCGCACAGTGGCTTTCTGGAGAGAGGACAGACAACCAGACTTACTTTATGGTTAAGTTAACTGGCTTTAATATGAGCTCCTCAAAGAGAAAGTCAGAGGTTCTGAAGATGGAGGTTTCCACAGCTTCCGCCCGTTCCCTGGGAAAGCACACATTCTGCGAGTTGTCGGAAGCCTCGCCTGTTGGGGTAACTCTCTCTCTTCTTCCATAGCCCTGAGCAGTCTCTGCTCCTGGACTGTGGCGAAGGCACATTCGGGCAGCTGTGTCGTCACTACGGGGATGAAGTGGACAGGGTCCTGGGCTCCCTCGCCGCGGTGTTTGTGTCCCATCTCCATGCAGACCACCACACGGTGAGTGTCTGCGCAGGGCCAGCCGGCAGGGCAGTGCCTTCTTCCCTCCTGTTCCAAGTTTGTGGGAGCCTCTGCAACTCGTTTGTTTGCAGGGAGAGGTCTCCTATACAACCCCAGTGCTGAGCAGATACGGCTGACCTTGGTGCTTGCTTTTGCATGTGACAGACAGGTTTGGCTGCATCCAGCTCTTGACTCTTGCCTTGTCCACAGCCTGCTGGAAGCACCTGGTCTGACCTGCGAGAGGTGGCCTTGAGGCCTCTGCATCGGGCAGTCCTGGGGTTCCTGGGGCGCAGGCTATTGCAGTATCTTTCTAACATGGACCGTGTTGCTTTCTGCTGGATGTTTCATGGGTCAGCAAGGGCCAGCTCCCACCTGTGGTCATGCTGGAGGGCTAGTGCTGGGTCTTGAAGCATAGAGGAGAAGACACTGACTTGGCACCTGGCTGATCCGGATCCTGTTTTCCTCCCCAGGGCTTGCTGAATATTCTGCTGCAGAGAGAGCGGGCTTTGGTAAGTCAGGACTTCACTAGCATTTTGAGTTGAGTTGGCATATGTCCCTGCCCTGAGCCTACCCTCCTGCACTCCAAGCTCTCTTTCACTGCCATGTTCCTCGTGGACTCAGCACTTGGAACTCTTTGTTTCAGGCATCTCTGGGAAAGCCGTTCCGCCCTTTGCTGGTGGTGGCCCCCATGCAGCTCAGGCCGTGGCTGCAGCAGTACCACAGGCAGTGCCAGGAGGTCCTGCACCACATCAGGTGAGTGTCCAAGGTTGCCTGACTCCAGGCTGCGCCCTTCATTGCCGCCGCCTCCAGGAGTTCAAGGTGGACACCAGGGCAGTTGGCAGAATCCCCTGGAAACAAACCCTGGCTTAGGGTTTGCTTGCTTTGAGCCAGATCTCTCCATCCTCACTTCGTTCCCTGCTGCTGTTTAGACTTTGGCCAGCGTGTCTCCAGGAGAGGTTTCCAGGGCCAGGCACCCAAATAGTGGCCAGCTCAGAGACCATCCACTGGGGACAGCCAGATGCTGGGGGACCGGTCCCAGCCCATGTCGCGGTGGGGGAGCCCACCTGCCTGGGCACAGCTGTCTTCTGTACAGCCTGAGCCGAGGTGCTTTTCTCCTGTTTGTGAACCGGGGAACTGACCTGGCTTTTTACTTGATCAGTGTCCTGGTCTCACTGACTACAATTTTAGTTGTGTTTCGTCGTAAGAATGATTTGAGGCCCTTACCCAAGATCTGAATTTTGATTCTATTTGTAAAGTGATTGTTTGAAAAATCTGCATTTTAATTTTTAAATATTTTATCTTCTCACAGTCTGATTCCTGCCAAATGGCTTCAGAAAGGGGTGGAGGTCTCCGATCCCACCATGGAATGTCTCATCGGTTCCCTGTTGGAAACCTGTGACTTGAAAGAGGTAAGGGCACAGTCGTAGGCCTGACGAGGGTGGGGCCGGCAGGGCAGAAAGGGGCCCTGCAGCTAGCTGTGCCCCTTCAGTTTCAGACCTGCCTGGTCCGGCACTGCAAGCACGCCTTCGGCTGTGCCCTGGTGCACACGTCCGGCTGGAAGGTGGTCTATTCTGGGGACACCATGCCCTGTGAGGCTCTGGTCCAGATGGGTGAGTAGAGAAGAAATGAATACGTGGAGGTTGGTGTAGGTGGCAGTGTGTGTGGAGGAGTGTGCTAGGGGCATGTGGGGACGTCAGAGCTGGCTACCCCCTGACGGTCTCCGAGGGTCATCCTGATGTTTAGCTAAGTTGCATTTCTGGGTCAGGTCGGGACACAGCGTGGATCCAGGTGCTGCCTTGCCAGGGGGCTCTACATTGACACTCTTCTCCCTAGGGAGAGACGCCACTCTTCTGATCCATGAAGCCACTCTGGAGGATGGCTTGGAGGAGGAAGCTGTGGAGAAGACACACAGGTAGCAAAGGGTGGTCAGTCTCCCCTGTTAGCCAGTCTGTCCCTTCAGCTGGAGACCAAGTGGCCTCATATTGCCCCTGGAGAAAGGCCGCCCTCCAGTGATGTGGGGCCAGCTAGCTTCCTGCTGAGGGCCAAGGGCCTTTGCAGCCTCTTGGGCCCACTGCCTGTGTTTCCACGGAGTTGTCTAGAGAATGTTCTGCAGAGGCCTGGTGTTTTGAGAGTGTAAGAAACAGGCTGGAGTAAACCATATGCTGTGTCAGGAGAGGGTAGGTGGTGCTGGTGCTTCTGGGGGCTGTTTGGAGAGAGAGTGCTGTGACCCGAGTACCCTCAGGTTTCTTCAGGTAGCTACGCTCGCTGCCCTCGGGGAGGCTGACAGCCAGCAGACTGGGTGTCCTTCAGGGCAGGTTCGAAGGCCCTTGTCAGAGCTGCCAGTTGAGGACACCCCTCGGCTTCCCCAGAGTGCCCTGGGCAGCGGAAGGGCCAGGACGGAGCTCCCTGAGGCTCAGTGCCTGGCTGTTCCGCACAGCACCACCTCCCAAGCGATTGGTGTGGGGATGCGCATGAATTCGGGCTTCATCATGCTGAACCACTTCAGCCAGCGGTACGCCAAGATCCCCCTCTTCAGCCCCGACTTCAACGACAAAGTCGGAATCGCCTTTGACCACATGAAGGTTTGTGTGTCACACAGCTGTGAGGGTCGGGAAGCTGGAGGGAGGTGGGTCTCGGCCCCTTCCCCATCACTCAGTTACACTGGCCCCTGGCGACGCCCGCCTCCTGCACGGTCCTGCTAGATGTCAGTCCCAGGTTCATGCCTGAACCATTTCCAGTCACGCCAGTGCAACTCAGCACGGCCTGGGAGCCAGCTGCTTGCACCCCACAGGTGGCAGAGCCAGGCTTGCCCCTCTGGCCTTCTCAGGCTGTCGGCTGCTGGGGAGCACGGAGGGAAGAGTCCGCTCCTGCTCTCTGAGCGTGGTCGTGTCCTCTGAGTGCGCGTCTCCACCCTGCCCCTCTGAGGCACCTGCCTACCTTTGTGGCCTCCAGGTCTGCTTCGGAGACTTGCCCACAGTGCCCAAGCTGATTCCCCCGCTGAAGGCCCTGTTTGCCGAGGACATCGAGGAGATGGTGGAGCGGAAGGAGAAGCGCGAGCTGCGTCTGGTGCGTGCGGCCCTCTCCCAGCACCTGGCCGCCAGCCCAGACGACGACGGGGAGCGCCTGCCAAAGCGGGCCCTCGCAGAGCAGCCCCAGAGCCCACAGAGCAAGAAGGCCAGAGCCTCGTGAGGTCCGGACCCGCCCTGAGCTCCGGAGTATGCGCCCTGCACCCACAAGTGATGTCCTCATCCTGGTGGTTGCCAGAGAGCAGGATCCAGCCAGGAGGCAGAGGCAGTGCATGGCAGCAGTGTGGAGCTGTGCCTTGTCCTGGGCTCCGGTCAGCACCAGCCTTCAGTCACCTCCATCACTGGCGCCTGGCACAACAGAAGGCCATGGAACAGAAAAGACAGGACCGAAACTCCAAGTTGGGTTATAAAGTCATGGAAGCGGGCGGCACCCCTTGCCTATTCTGGCAAAATGCTTTCCTCTGCCCCTGGGAGATAAGCCAGGTTACAGGGGATGCTGGCTCTAAGCATCCTAGACTCAGAGATTAGTATCTGCAGAATTGGCCACAACAAAGAGTTTGGAGTTCTGCGTTGTTTCACTTCATCTCGGCCCTGCTTCAAGGCAGGGTCCTCCACTCCCAGGTGCCCAGGAAAGCTCCGCGGGCCTGAGGACTGTTGGAGCCTGTCCCCAGGAGCCACCGCCTTTAGCAGCCAAGCCTTGGCAGAAGCCCAGCTCACAGCATCAGCTTGGATCAGCTCACATGGGGGAGAGCTGGGCCGGTGCGGCAGAGCAGAACACAAGTCTGAACACCTTCAGTTTGTTCTCATCTCTTGAGGAAACGACCGTCTCCTTACCTTTGGGAACACTGACAAATGTCCTGAACTGGCTTCATCACCCACCTCGCAGGATTGTAAAAGAGGTTCATGCTTGAAATCAAGAGAATTTTCCAAGTTGAACCCAGAATTAACGTGTTCTTCCTCCCTGGTGACCTTCGGCCTTCCCCTGACACCACAGGGGAGGTCATTAATTGTCCCACCGCTTTATTAAAATGAGAACATGTGCCAGGCTTCGGGATAATAAATCTATTTTAATAACATTACTTTTGACAACAATTTTTACATGTATTTAAAGATAACTTCCAACCCCTGGGCTCCATTACAAAGAGGGGATTGAACTGCCCTTGCCGGGAGGTGAGCAAAGCTGGAGCATCAAAAGTCTGCAAATCCACTCTCAGAGGAGGGTGGCTTTACACCGAGCTGGGGAAATAACTAAGCATTTCAGTCTTTCTTCATATTTCTGTACACTGGTTTAGATTGAATGGCTCAAATTAAACAAATATAGAGATTTCATATGTACAAATATTATATCATGTATAGGTATATTATATTTATTTCAAAAGGATAAAATTTTCAACTTTGTCTTTGCATGCATGGTCCAGATCTGTGTCTGACTCCTTATCCCCAGAGTGCCCACGAGCCCTCCCCAGGGCTGGGTGGGACTTGATGAGAGGGGTGAGCCGCAGGTGCTGGTGAGCCGAGCAGGCACCCGCAGGCCAGTCACAGGGCCGGTGTCTCCGGGGGCTGGTTTTACTCCCACCTGCTTTGGGTAACAATTATTGCTATTCACTGTAACCTCCAAAATGAACATTTTTCTTGGGTGTCTAATGTGTTTAGGGGACGGGGCGCTACTTTGGGCATTGCAGACATGGTCAGGGTCCTCTTTGAAATTCGAGTATAAAATGAGTGAAGGGAGCTTTTGGGGAAGAAGGGAACAGAACTGGTAATCAGTGAAGCCGTGTACTCTGGAGCCCTCCGAGGAAGGGCACCCTCCCCTGCATGGCAGGCAGGCCATGCCCAGGACTTCTGGAATTCAACTAGTCCAGCTATGGATGCGGCATCTCCTCCCCCAGACCTGCTTCCTTTCTGGCCCACTGGACAGATACTGCAAGACCAGAATCAGCTGTCACAGCCAAGGCAGCATCCCTCAGGCGTGCCCACGTGGTTTTCCTGCTCCCCTGCCCCACAAAGGACGTTTCTGACAAGCCCTTGGGCAGAGAGGTGGGTGCTGCCTGGCATGGAGGCTGAGAATGGATCAAAATAGGCACAAAGTCAAAAGGCAAAGGTCAAACAAAAGGCCAAAGTCACCACCCAAAAGGAACAAACAAAATCTGCACCACCTACATTTGCCACACAGACCAGAGGTGGCAGTTTTCTGCCCGACTCCAACCTCAGGCCGGAAGTGACAGGAAAGAGCCAGTGGAGAACACTTGGCAAGCTCGGGGCCCGCTCCTGGCGGGGTGTCCCGGCTGCGTCTGTATGTACACGTGTGACAGGCGGGGGGCCGCATCACAGGGCGGTGCTCTCAGACTCCTCCTCCGAGTCCCTCTTGTCCGTCACCGAGTGTCGCCGCGCGTGCTCCAGGGGGCTCAGGCGCAGGGTGGATCCCAGCTCTATGTGGATGGAGGGGATATCAAAGTGGGCGAGATCTGCAAGTCGGCAGAGAGAAGGGAGGTGAGGGGCTTCCCGCTCAGTCAGAGGCTAATGGGGGGCAGATGGGTGGGGGCGGGCTGGTCTTTCTGGCTCAGTGGAAAAAGTAAGTGTCCTCACTGAAATGGGTGACACATGGAGCCAGAGAAAGGGTCTTCTTGGGAGCCTGCTGCTAGCCGGAGTCATTCTGAATCTGTTTGCAGAAAAGCCACCCTCTTCTGGCAACCTTATTAGGAGTACTTAAAGACATTCTTCCTGGAAGTCTGAGCAGGAGGAATGTACCCAAAGTGACCCAGCTCAGCATCTGTAGACATCTGTGAGTTCATAAAGCTCAGACAAGTCCTCAGGCCAAGCAGGGCTCCAGCAGGCACAGCCCGCGGGAGTCAGCCCTGGCGCCGCAGGTGCTGCCCAGCTGGGGCCTGGACGGTCCAAGTGGCCGCTCTCTGGGGGCTGCAGGTGAGCCAGGTGTGATGGAGCCTCTTGGTCATGTTATGTTCCCTGTGCTTGACTTGGGATGTCACTTGGCCTTGCTTATCATTTAGGTCAGAAGCCACACTCCATGGAAACTGCACAGTGGGAAGATGCGTGTGTGTTTGTAAGCAAACGTCCAGACTGAGGGATGCGGTACTGAGTGTGCAGACATACACTGGACACTGTCCCAAAAGACACTGTACAGACATGAAAGCTCTCCTTCCCCCAGCGGTCCTCTAAACGCCACTCCAGCCCGGCTTCAATCAGCTGCCTGAGGGAAGTTTAAGGCTCAGCTCAGGCGCTACCATGTAATCCTCACCAAGCCCCAGCAGGTGGCGCTCGAGGCTTGAAGCTCATCCTAGGCGCAGTTCCTCCTCTGCATAGGTATGGGGTTGTGCCCACCTGAGGCTACCCAGCTGGACCATGTGCACTGTCCAGGTCCAGACCTGTCCCACAGTGAGACTGTGGCCTTGGACAAGCTGCTTACCTACCCTGTGCTTCAGCAGTCACACAGGAATAACAGGAGTCCTGAGGCGTGCAGACATACTCCCACAAAGGACCCCAGGGGGAAGAGGGACATTCAGGCAGAGATGGGTTTAGGGGAGAAGCCTCGGTAGCCTCCCGAGCAAAGGGAAGGAGTGATTTCACTTCCCGCAGCAGCTCTGAGCATGCCTGTTAGGAGACCTGTCAGTGGGCGCCAGATGCCTGTTGCAGCCTCAGTAGAATCATGTGCCAGATGGAGGGAAGAGGACCCCAGTTAATTATGAGGCAAAAACACCTCATCTCTCTGGCTTCTTTCAAGTTCATGCCTCGGTTTTAGCTTTCAGTGTTTACTCTCCTTGGCAGGAGAAGATAAGGTAGATACTGACAAAATAATGTTACTGGGCTGGAAAGAAAGGATCTGGTGACCATTATCATGAGAGTGGGGGAGAGTGGATTCTAAAACTGGATTCTTCGGGGTTCCCCAGGTCTCAGCCTTGAGGAGGACAGGACAGGCACTGGAATCTGGGTCTGACAGTGAGGACTGCTGTGCCACAGGCAGGGCCACACACTCCAGTGCTGGAGCCCATGTGGGCTGCATCAGGTGAGTCCTCTCATGGGGACAGATTCCTAAACAAAGGTGCATGGGACCATTGCTGGGGGACTGGCCACAAAAGTCTCCAGTGGACACATCCTACAAAAAGTAGCTCTGTTACCTGCAAATTCTAATCTGGGGGAACGGTGTGTGTTTCGGGGTAGGGTGGGGGTCCTAAAGCCAGGTGATTGTGGGGTGAGGAGGAAAAGAGCTATGATATTGGCTGGGTTCCTCCCCCAGCTCCTCCCAATGAAAAGAAGAAACACAAACAAAAAGGCCTGTAACATCAAAAAGCCAGCCAAGCTCCTGGACAGAGCGTCCTTGCTGGGGGTGGGAAGGCTGGCAGAAGTGCGGCAGCCATGCGGTTGGGGGGTCTGAGCCACATGCAGAGAGGAGGTGCTGGGGGCGCTGTGGGGCTGGCAGCGGGTGGGCAGGCGGGCGGGGGCAGCTGGCCTGGCTGGCCGCAGGGAGTGGAGGGCGGTGAGGCCGGGGCCAGCTTACCCTGAAAATCCCCCTCACACGTATCCACACTGCGTCACTCTGTCAAACAGCTGCAGGAACACAATGACAGGATTCGGAGAGAGGAATCAACACGAGACACGAATGTCACAGCAACACAGGCCGAGGTCACACTCTGAGAGCGTCACAGAGTCTACACTGGCTGGAGACCGCACGTGTGAACATACGATGGTGTGCCACCAAGAGAACATTGAAACACGGTGGGGTGCAGGGCCAGGAAGGTCACTGACGCTGACAGGAAGCCTCAGTGCCGCTGCGTCAGGCAGCACAGAAGCCATAGGAGCGCGGGCCCCAGCTCCCCCTCGCCCACTGTCACCCCTCCATTTCTCATTTTGCCCTTTTCTGCCTCTCCAAGTGGCATGCTCTGCTCCTTCCCGCCGGGGTGACAGGGAAAGTCAGCAGACTTGCAGGGCTGGAGCCCTGCCGAGAGCAACCCGGGCAGGTGTTGCCCATCTGGAGGGCAGCAGTGGGCTGTGCCCTGTGCCACAGCCACTCACCCTGGAGACTGCCAGCAGGGAGGGGTGCTATCCCTTCTCAGAAGGGACTGTCCCTAATTGTTCTGTAAGCCTCAGGGTAGATGACAGCACCTACACACTCAACATTAATCACATCCAAACATAGAGAAATCAAGTCACCAGACGGCTTTCCCCCAATACTGAAGTAGCCTAAGCTATCAGAAACACTTGCAAATTTGACTAGCATTTTTATTGGCAGCAAGGGGCCGAACTCCACCAGTCCCTGGCTTCCAGCTCATCTGGCAAAGAAAATGTAAAGTTTTTTTTGGAGGGGACTCATTGAGGGAAAAAATGGCAGGATCTGTGAGAGTGCTCTCAGTGTACATAGGACCCAGCAAAGCATTTTTCTCCGATGTGCAATATGTTTGAAAAATGTTTAAATTTTTAAAAATTTATTAAGGACACACTGCTGTCAATCACCCTGGAAAAGCTCCTCCTCGCTTTAACCCCATCCCATCATTCTTGCTCCTTTCTGATGCCTTCTGGGAGTCCTCTGTCATGGGTGTCTCCAGTTGGGCTCGCATGGTCTCCCTGATGTCCCAATCGGTTCAAAGTGTTTATCCTTCACGGTCATTATGACCTTGGAGAAGAGCCAGAAGCCGCAGGGTAGCGGACCTGCTGGATGCCACGGAGGAGGAGGCACCACAGCATCTTTAACAAGCGGCCTCTCAGCAGGACGGCTGCTAGCAGCCGGCTCACTGCACTGCTGATCACCTCGGGTACAGACTCTCACGAAAGAGGACTTCCAGAACTGCCTCGGGGAGCTGCCAGTGATGAGATCACTGTTCCAAGTCAAGGAGAAGGTTTTTGCGGGGAATTAAGGGCATTAGGCCTTCCAGCATAATAAATTTTTAGAAATTTAAACATTTACCACGGAGCGAGATCAGTGTATGTAGGTATGTGGTTTGGTCAGTTCTTATCTGTCTTTGGTGGTGATTGAACTGAGGACCTTGTGACATGCTAAGCACACCCTCTATCACCTAGCTGTCCCCTCTGGGTATCCGCTATGTGTGGGGTGTTATATGCTTATATAGTAAATGTGTGGTATACATATGTATAGACACCACATGTATTCACATGTGATATGTGTGCTGCATGTGACAGATGTGTAGCATGTGTATCTTTGGGATATATGGTGGTGACCCACATGTACACATGGTACATGCATGGTGCATGCTGTGTGTCAGTGTGTGGGTGGTAAATGTGTAATACATGTGATGCGTGCAGATGTGTGTGTGTGTGCATGTGTGTTTATTCCTCTCTTGTGCTGTCTGGCACATTCCACAAATACGCACAGGCTCTGCCCTGCGCCGAGGCCAGCTCTGCTCCGAGACGCAGCTCCACGCTCTGCCTATTTTTCTGAATTAGGGAAATGCCCAGCTGGTATAGCACTCACCACAAACCCACCCTGGACTTCATGATCTTTTGTGGTCGAGATGTCTGGGAGATGCTTCAAAAATGTCTGCCCCAGTGATTAGACTTTTGCTAAATGTAATTTGTGTGAAATTTCTTGCTCACACATTTTCCTGGAGGAAGATAGTTCCATTTTGGTTTTAAATTTAGAGCCAACCTCTTGTGCAGTGGTGGGTTTGCGAGGTTGTTGCTGGAGGAATCAGGTGGGACGAAGGAGGGTCACACCTTGATCTTTTCTGAAAATGACCCTTGTCTAAATGTGTGAATAGAATACTTTCCTAGCAAGGCTCGGTGATGCCTCGGTTAACAAACTTGATTCTTTCCATGATGCTGATGGCAGACCGAGTTGGATAAGAACTAAATCAAATTCAGTGGTTCAATCTTGACTTTCCAGAGAAGTATGATTCAGTTCTGGTCCATTTTGGTTTGATACCAGAATCATGCAGAGGTCCATTTTGGTTTGAGACCAGAATCATGGAGAGAACTGAGTTTGTGAACCACTGTACTTTAATGCAAGGCAGAAGAAACATTTTGGGTTCCTGGCCTCTGTTCTCCAGGTAAGCCTTTGCACCTGCTGGCTGCCCTGGCTGGGTCCTGGGGTCCCTAACCCAGTATCTCACCTGTGTTTGACACCAGCCATTCTGGGATCAGAACAGTTTTCAGCTTTTCCTCTGATCCAACTCCAAAGGACCAAGGGTGTTCAACCTCTTGAATTACAATCAGAAATAGAACCCTTGGCTTACAGGCTGACTGCTGCACAATTTGATCCCAGGGCCTCCTTCCACTGTTGGCTTCCCCGGATACCATCGTGCAAGCAGCCCACGGCAGGCATCAGCCCAGCTGTCTCATGGTGAATGGGAATCTGTGAGCTGCAGGCTGCTATGGGTCCCTCCCGGCAACCTGTCACTAAGGTTCGCAGGAAAGCTCAAGGGCCCGTGGCCTGGTTACCTGTAGACATGCTCTCCCCCGGGGACATGCCATCCAGCATGGGGTGCTCCGTGGACTGAGGGCTGGAGGCCGAGAGGCTGACCGTGGGAGGCTGAGGAGGCGGCAGGGTAGGCCTCTGCCTGGGCTTCGGGGTAGGCCGGGATTTGGCTAAAGTGCTCGTGAAAACGGAAGGAGAGGCCAGGGGTGGAGCCGCAGCCGGGGACAGCTGGCCTGAGGCCAAGGAGTACCCTGGAGGGTAACCGAGTCCGTAGGGTGATGGGGTGCTTGGTGGAGTTGGAGACAGGCTGATCGGGGATGGCTGGCCAGCGGACTGATCAGGAACAGGCCCCGGCTGGCCAAAGGGGACCTTGGGGGGAATTGGTGCAAGCTTCTTCGAAACTGAAAGAGAAAACAGCACGGGCTGTTAAAGGGGTGCCGTCAGTGTGGCCCATCAGCACACCCTTCCCAGCGAACAGAGGCCACCACCACCTCCGCAACCCCAGCTCCCCTGCCCCAGCCTCCTGCCGCACAGCAAGCGGCCGATGCGCTGGTTAAAAATGAACCTGCAACTGCAAGTTTTCGTGTCTTCCCATCTGTTAGCTAATTCTCCTCCTCTCTCCTGGATTCCTGCCACAGTGTAGACACACACACCCAGCCCAAGCGGAGAACAAATCTCCCATCCACAGGGGTGGGCTCACTTCCCAGTGGAAAAAGATGCCACTGCTGTCCTCTGAGACGGAGCGAGCGAGGCTCAGATGGCTCAAGCTCAGCTGTCGCTGTGGACTCCTGACCCAGGGCGAGTCCTGGGCACCTGCCCAGGGGTGCCGGGCTTCCAGCCATGGTGTGTGAGCTGACTGTCTGGTCACGGAAACCCCACGCCTCAACTACTTCACGTCCTGTGCCTCCTTCCTGCGTCCTTGTCCTGCGGACTCTTTTTTTTTCTTTTCTTTTTTAACATTGGCATATTTGCACTCAGTTATGAGCTCCGGCATTGTAATGCAATACATGTATACAATGCATAATGATTAAATCACAGTAATTAGCATCTCCAGCTTCTCAAATATTATCATTTCTATGCACTGGATACTTTCCAACTCTTCTTCTCTAGTTATTTCAAAATGTGTAATTAGCTGCTACAGACTACAGTTACACAACTGTACTACTGAAGGCCACACCGGCTCCCCCTCGTGCTCCCACCGGTTGTGTGCTGGTACTTGCTACCCAGGGCTTTCCATCCCTTTCCTCCTGACATCTTCTCCTCAGCCTCTCATTATTTCCCCCCCTTTTTCTTTCAAGAATGGACATAAACATGGACAGAGTGACAGCAATTTTGCCCCCACGTCCCCCTTATACAGTGCTGGGGATGGAACCTAGGGCCGCCCACATGCCAGGCAAGCGCACCCCTGCTGTGCTAGCTCCCCAGCCTGACTGCACTTTTTATACCACACCACGGCCTCAGTCTCTCTGCACGTCCTTCGTTTTCCTCTAGGTACTTAATCCCTCCAAAGGATGACAAGCGCAGGACGTTTTGATTGACAAGGGATTGGTGAAAAAGAAACCACACACACACACAAATGCAAACATTCAGGAGCTCTACCGGATGGGCAGACATCCTGAGAAAATGACCATCAATCTCTCAGAAATAAGTGACAGCTGGGCATGGGTAGCGCTAATTCTGGAAGCTGCTGTCTTCTGAGTCCTTAGGGGGGTGTCAGAGCCTCTCCCTCCACACACCCTCCCCAGCCCTCCAGGAAACCGCACCTATTCCGAAGATACCTCAGCTGTTCCCTGGGCTCCCCCAGCCTGCACTGCAGATGCAAAAGGACACAGTCCTGTAAGTCCTACCAACTCGAGTTCAAATTTCTATCCTGGGCTGCAGATTTAGCTCAGCGGCATAAGCGCCTGCGCCTTGTAAGCACGTAGTCCTGAGTTCAATCCCCAGTACCAAACATGAAAAAGACAAAAAAAAAAATTCTCTCCTGCTACTTACCTGCTACACTGCCTGAAGCATTTTTTAAAAAGTCTTTAAGTTTTTTTAAAGAATCTCTTCTATACAGCGGGAAGAACAGTGCTGTCTTTATTGCACTGTGATACTTAAATAGAATCATGCACAGAAAGTGGCACATCGGCACGATCTGTAAGAAAACCACTTCAGTCTCCAGTTTCCTTTTCCACCTCTGCTTGGTGAGGATGGGTTGTGTCTGCCAGCGGCTCCTGACCATGCTCGGTCAGCAACATCCATCAGTGCCCTGCATGCAAAGCAAATGCAGGCCCGCGTATCCGTGCCTAAGAGTATGTCTCCCTCTAAACGAGCTGCAGGAGGCAGGATGCAGTGACATTACCATGCCTGAGATGACGTGGGAAGTGACAGGACCGGGTATGATGGACTGTAGACGCCCAGGCAACAAACCAAAGGGCCCAAAAAATAAAAGCTAAACGTCCCGTTCACGGGCAATGATGAACAATGCAAAGAAAGTTACGCCTTTCCAGTGACAGCTCGGAGTTTCTGGACACCATGTGAGAAAGCCAATTGAGATATTTTAGGCTGCATTTCCTGCATAGATTCAAAAACTAACACTACTACAAAATCTGAATGGGTCAACACAACAGTATTAGGAAGCTGACTGACTACAAGAAGATCTATGTAGTCTCTAATGGACAATGCAATGGCTGAGACTTCACCCCTACCTTGTAAGGCTGGGGAGGGGACATACACCAAGACACGCCAAAGGGCTACAGAGTCCAGACCACAAGGGAGCCTGCTGGTGCTTGAAATGCAGAATCCTGCCACCATCGCTTCAGCCCACTCCTTAGTTAGCCTTTGAGATACCTTTTCTTCTGACCATCTGCTTTCTGACTTTTGAGTCCAGACAGACTGTCCTATGTGTCCCACAACACTGATGTCCCCGGCATTGTATTACAGTTTCCTCTGGGAATTACAGACCTCTGCTCATTGCCAGAGGCACTAAGCATCTGTAGGATGCACAAGGCACAAGTGTGGAATAAACAAGATTCCAGAGCTAGGAAAAGGGACTGTCAGGCACAGGGAGCTAGGAGGCTGACAGGGCCCTAACAGGACGTACCTACCAGAGAGACAAACTGGCCCCACCTGACCAGTCCTGGAACTAAAGCCAGTCCCAGAAGCATGAAAGGTCTGGATTTAGAGCAAAGTAAGTGGTGTGTGATTTTAGACAAGGGAAAGGCTTTGCTGGGGTGTGACAGAAGGAGAAATAAGTCAAAAAGTTATGGAAGGTCTTGACTTATGGAAGACAATCCCATGCCCTCGTCTCTTTATGAGGAATCATGGGAGGAGACAGCTGAGCACAACCAGCAGGGTGGGTGGGGGGCTCCTGTGAATGACCCCACACTGCTTCTTAAATAATGAAGACAGGGCCTGCAAGTGTATGGAGGAGGACACATGCCATCCTGGACAGTGACTTATGCACTGGTGGAACTGTGTCACATGGGAAAGCATTCTTTTTTTTTTTTTTTTTTTTTTGGTACCAGGGATTGAACTCATGACCTCGCACTTGCAAAGTAGGTACTTATGCCGCTGAGCTAAATCCTCAGCTCAGGGAAAGCATTCTTGTATTTATGTTCCTCGTGAGTCCACTTTTCAGATGACCAAACTGAAGAATAATGGTGAAATGACCCCCACTGAGGTGGTTTATCTTTTTTTTTCTGGTGGTGGGGATTGAACTCACAACCTTGCGTTTGCCAAGCAGGCATTTACCTAAACCACTGAGCTAAACCCCCGGCCCTAATCTTTTCAAAGCTCTTATGTCTAGACTGGAAATCGCTCACTAAGCCACACGATTTAATTTCCAAACATCCATGCCAGCGAGGGCAGTGACTCTGCAGGAATATACCAGCCACCGCTTGCCTAAGACCGACCCGGGAAGGAAGCGGTGACTCACCTTTCCGGAGGGTATGAGGGCTCTGGTCCGCAGGTGGCTGGCCGGGGCTGGTGCCTGGCTGTGTCCCCGGACCGGCTGTTCCCTGGCCAGAGCCTGGACTTCCTTTCTGCCCAGACCCTGGAGATAATTCCTTGCTTTTAGACGTGCTGAAACACAAGCACACAGGAGGAGAGAGAAGCCCTGAGCTCAGTCCGTGTCAGCACCAGGCTTACCGGCTGTGACCCTGCTCGCCTTCTGGTAATGCTTAATTCCACCCAGCATCTGAGCTGTCGCCTTTGCTTATTTAAGCCTCTGAAAGTGTCTTAAGAGCGCTCGTGGCTGGCTCAACTCAGCTGGGTGGCACCTGGCATTCACTGCCAGCACCCTCTTCGTACCCCTGAGCTCAAGGACACTTAAACAATGCGAGGCCAGAGACCCTGAGCTTCCTCCCTGTACCAGTTGTCAATGCAGGACCTCCGCATCTCCATGGACACCAGAGAGGAGAGATTTCTGGAGAGCAGGGTGTCCAGTGAGGCTGATGCTGCCATGCCCATGGCTATAGGGTTTCAAATGTCTTCCCGGATCCCCCACTGTACCCCTGAGGAAGGGAGGCATTCTGGGACCCATCCCCAAACTCAGCACCAGGTCCCAGCTGGGAACAGGGTTGATTCCGTGAGCCTGCACATAAGTCAGTTCAAGTTCCAGAGCTCTAGGGGAGGGTCACAAAGGGTCCCTGGTCTCTGGAGGACCTTTGAGTTGGCAGAGGGACCCGAGGATTCACCCTTACTGTAAGGCTCCTTCTCAGGTCCTCTGATGGGGATAGAGTTCAAGTTAGGACAACGCACCAGTCAGTCCCCAACTCCCTACAGGTGGCCACCTCCAGGAATAGTGCTCATTGCCCCACACATTCCCCCACGGGCCTCTCAGTCCTTTCAACAAAATGCTCCAGGCAGCTCCTGGTGAGTCAGGAGGAGCGCTGACTCTGGGAGCTCTCCATGATCCTGGGTGAGTCTTCCCAGGTTCCGATGCCCTAAGCTGTAAAGCAGGGAGTCTAAAAACCCACATATTCCTCCGTGGCTGTTTCTTCCGTCACAAATGCAGTCACATGCTATTTCTTCCCTAACTTTATTTAGAAAATGCAAATGTGACTGTGGAGAAAATACCAAAAGAAGTATACCATCCATGCCCCCTGGGCTATGCTGGGCAAGACTGGAGCAGAAAACTGGGCTAGAAGGGGAAACACCATTAACCACAGGTAGTTAATGCCCATGGGAAGGGAGGAGGGAAGGAAGGAGAGAAGGAAAACAAAGGGAAGGGGAGGGGAGGGGAGGAGAGGGGGGAAGGGGAGGGGAGAGGAGGGGAGGGCAGGGGAGGGGAGGGGAGGGGAGGGGAGGGCAGGGCAGGGCAGGGCAGGGAAGGGAAGGGAAGGGAAGGGAAGGGAAGGGAAGGGAAGGGAAGGGAAGAAGGAAGGCAGACCAGTTAGTTCCCCTCGAGGGGAGGGGAGGGGAGGGGAGGGGAGGGGGTGGGAGGGGGGAAGGGAGGAAGGCAGACTGGCCACATTCAAGGCCATGGTATTTTCCCTTGCAGGATGAGCTCTGTTCCTAACAAATTTTCCAAAAGAAAAATGTCATTTTATCCAAGAGAAACCAGAAGAGCAAAAATTCTTTTATGTATTCAGTTAATGAAAAACAAAACCATAAACCTTGCATCTGTCAGCCTGGACGAAGACTATCCTCCAGCCTTCCTTAGTCTCAAGGGCACCGGGCACCTGGCATTTATGGCCAACATCCATTTCCCCTGCTATCCATTGCTACCACTATCAAGGGTAAGTTGTAACAGTCACCAAAGAAGACACCAGATCAGCAGAGCAAAACCTTGCTTTCTAAGGGACGGCAGATGATTCCTCCTTCTTGTGGCAGGACAGCATCGCACTAGGAATCGAGGGTGGCTCTTTTTCTGTCCCCTCCCACGTGACAGAGTCCCCAGCACAGAAACATGTACTGTGCCTCGCTTCCCTCTCTCCAGCACAGGCGCAGCTGGCCCAGAGGGAGCACTGGATGAGAGAGTGGTTATGGAATAGGACCCCTCAGTTTGGGGGTCACGTGACTCAGACAGTAAGCTGGGTGCCCAAGAGCAGAAGCCGTGCTTGGGGTCAGTGTCAATGCCAAGCCGTGGTGCAGGATATGGCGGTGGAGCCTGCTGGACAGAGCCACCAGCCTGGAAGGGGGGAGCTAGAGGCAAGGCCTGGGAGTGAGCGAGGGCCTGCTCTCCTCGGGGGAATCCAGCAAGGCAGGAAGCCCCATCTGGGCTGCAAATGTCCAGAAAACAGGAAACAATAATGGAGCACCCATTTGTGCTGGGAGCGAGCCACACAGGGAGAGAAGAGGGCACAGTGGGACAAAGGAAAGCAGTATCACTCGAAGAAAAGCTGTGGGACAGAATGCCCAGGGAAAGGAGGCCTACGCGGTGTTAGGCCTTTTAATAACCTGAATGAGCGGGTGACATTCCCTGCCCCAAGTGAACGCAAGCCCATTCACCTCGTTCCTGGAATGCCTTCAGAGCCTGGGGACTCCATCCTCAAGGCACCTTTTTTTTTTTTTAGAAATATCATTTATGTGTCAAACACCATGTGGCCTAAGAGTGTCTGATAAGATGGGAAGTCAAAGCTGGGCATGGTGGTGCATGGCTGTAATCACAGCTCTCGGGAGGCTGAGGCAGGAGGATTGCCGTGAATTCAAGGCCAGTCTGGACTATGTAGTGAGTTCAAGGCTGTCTTCAGCTATATATAGCAAGACCTTGCCTAAGAAATAAATAAATGAATAAATAAAAAGACAGGAAGGTAGAATGATGCCGGTGTGTGTTCTGAGAGGGGACCATCTAAGAGGGGGTCATCTCAGACCATGTCCTGCTGCAGATGCCTCCTGGTCAGCTGTCTGGCCTGCCCCTGACAGGCTCTAGTTCTGCTCCAGCTTCCTCTGGCCCCTTGTGCATCTCTCAAGCAGACCTGAAGCCCAGCCAGGGCACAGCAGGACAGCTGGAGCCATTAGCAACAGTCCCAGCTATCAGGTCTGCCTCCTGAACTCTGGAATTGTGAAAATATCTTCTATGCATTGAAGAGGAAGAGGAGGAGAAGGGAGGAAGAGGAGGAGGAAGAAGAGGAGGAGGAGGAGAAGAATGAGGATGAAGAAGAGGAAGAGAAGAAAAACAGGTTTGCAATTCCCCCATTTAGAGTCTGGGATGCGTCTGTGTGTGTGCATGTGTGGGCGCGCGTGTGCGTGCATGCGTGTGTGTGTGCATGTGTGGGCGCGCGCGTGCGTGCATGCGTGTGTGTGCATGTGTATGAGAGTGTGAAGACTGAGTTAAAAAATCCAGCCTCCCAAAGTCTCCACGCCTTCCTCCTGTGGCTTCCCACCCCGACAGAGCACACAGAAGTATATTTGAATTAGCGTCCTCTAAACTGCTGTTCGAGAACAGACAGGAACAAGCAGCAAAGCTGTTTGATCATGCAGGCGTCATTTCCAGGGTCCCCAGGGTCCTTTGCCCTGACTGTACCCTCCAGGTGCAATCTCCTTTGCTTGGACCCCTGGGTCTCCAGCCCAGCTGTGGTATTTGCCTGAGCCTGTGTGCTCCCTGTGACATGAACTGCTTAGGGGCACTGAGCGGGGCTGGGGACACAGAAGGCACTGAGCTTGCCATGGGAGGAACCCGCAATGCCACCACGCGATGTGCCGCAAGGTCACCAGGCCCAGGGTGACTATGTCACCTCCACTGCTTCTCTGATTTGCATTCATTTAAGCAGCAAAAATAACCGACTCAAAGAGGAGAGAAATGTTAGAATTCTGTTTCAAAATATGGAAGCAGAAAGGCGTGGAAGGTGGGCACAGGGAGCTGGAGAGCTGCGGATTCTTCACACTGCTTTAGCAAGCTTCTAAAGCCAGGATTGTACGTGGCAATCGGGGAGGCTGTGGGGGGCTGATTTGGTGCCAGGTGGATGTAGAAAGCGCAACACGAGGGGGTTGGGGATTTAGCTCAGCGGCATAAGCACCTGCCTTGCAAGCAGGCAGTCGTGAGATCGATCCCCGGTACCGATAAAAATGAAAAAGACAAAAAAAAAGAAAAGAAAGAAAGTGGAACACGAATGCTCAGAAGTGAGAGCGCATTGTGCGACCCATGCCAGGAAGACCCCAGTGGGTGCAGCGAGCTCAGACACCTCTAGCTGCAAACCCCAGGACTGCAGGCCAGTGCTTACCTGGTGCGCTCAGCTGCGGGCTGCAGGCCCCCGCCGGCTGGAGAAAGGGCAGGTGTGGCCACTGCTGCGGGGCTGTCGGGGACCTGCTCCGGCAGGGGTGATGGCAGAGGGGCAGCCAGCTCAGCAGGCGGGGCGGGAGGCTGCATGGAGGGCGGAGCGCCGGTGGCCTTCCTGCCAGCCGAGGAGCCTCTTCGAGCCACCCAAGATGTGTCCATAACCCTCACACCCATGCTGGCGAGGGACACAAAGACACCCTTTTACCAACACAGGACAGGTGACAGGCTCCCTTCCCCACCAAAAGCAGAGACATTCAAGCAGGTCCTGGTTAGGAGAAGAGCAGCGCAGGCTTAGCATCCTTCTGGGCCAGGGAAGCAATGTGCAGCGGGCGGGCAGGGATTGGCCAGCAACTCTCCCAGTGCCCAGACTGCCGGGGCCACTCAGACACAGCCCCTGCAGCCCAGGCTTGGCAAGAGCAGCTCTCACAGAGGCAAGGCTGCAGCAGGGTGCACGCGGCAGCTTGGGGCTCCCCAGGTTGTGCTTCCGCCCTCTGCCAAAGCCGGCTGGCCTTAGGACAGAGGGCTGCCAGGCTCCTTGGGTGCAGAATCCAAGCTGTTCTCAGAGCAGAATGTGGCCTAACTAGGGAGCAGGGGACCCTTGTTTCTCCCAAGTTCAAGAGGGCAGAGGCAGAGACGCTATCAAACTGAAACACTGAAACAACTGTAGGAGACATCGAAATATAAATCCTCTTCCTTTTTTTGGTAATTGTAACTTGGGTTCCAATCCCAGCTCCACCACTGCTGGGGTACCCTGGCCAAGTCCTCTGCAGGGTCTGCAGGGGCTGCAGACCACACCTGCTTGTGTATACTGCAGGGAAGGGGCTGCTCACGCCCACAGCCCCTCCAAGCTCTGAGTTCACTTTCATGATAGGCACACAGCTTCAAATAAGTCGGCCAAGCAACCAAACATGGCACATTCGCCCTCACAGAGCTCACTAAGACATAGCTCGCTTAGTTTAGGAGACTGAACGTGGCCTTGTAGCTACCAGAGGATACTGTACCTTTGGATTTTCCTAAGGCTGCAGGGACAGAAACATACAGATATTAGTGCCAGCAAATCTATGCCTTCCTTTGGACACAAAGGTGGTCTTTCTGCAGGACTGTCTTGCCATGGTCAGACTCTTGGAGTAGGGTTTCTTCCCATAAAGTATTATATTTAGTTGGTAGGGGATATGTGTGCCATGATTACCATTTAGTTGGTTAAGAGAACTTTTTTTTTTTTTAAATCGGTACCGGGGATCGAACTCACGACTGCCTACTTCCAAGGCAGGTGCTTATGCCGCTGAGCTAAATCCCCAGCCCCTAAGGGAACTTTTTTATTCACACAGGCAAAATCGTACAGATGGGTGGAGGAGCTGATGTGCTGTGGGGTGAGTAGTGGGAGTTATATAGGAGATGGAGACAGAAGCAAGCTATCTGCTCATTTCCGGGTTACCCGGACTTGGGCAGTTCCTTTTGCTCTGGTCTAGGAGGTAAATTATTCTCTGGTCTGGGAGTAGCTGATCCTTTGGTCCTGAGACAAGGGCTTTACTGACGGAGGCAAGAGCTCACATTTCGAGGGCGAAGGCAGACATGTGTGCAGGCTGAAAACGCACTCTTTTGTCTCTAGCAGTTACATGTATTGTGGAGCAGAGAGCTGAGCTTATATGCTCACTCGCTCCTCTTCTCTACTAAATGGTCATTCACACTGAGCAGAAGGAAGAAGCCAGCATACCATGAAGTGCTATCCGCCTAAAATGATCACAGAGGTATGACAAGATTAAAAAATAATACTGAAAGTTCAAATGCAGAGATTGGTGGTAGCAGGTATGATTTGGGTCTTTTAAGGAAATATGACTTGGGATAGACTGGCAGAGAGAGAGAGAGACAGACAGAGAGAGACAGAGAGAGGCAGAGAGACAGACAGAGACAGACAGACAGAGAGAGACAGAGAGAGGCAGAGAGACAGACAGAGACAGAGAGGCAGACAGAGAGGCAGAGACAGAGACAGAGAGACAGAGAGAGAAAGACACAGAGAGAGAGAGAGGGACAGAGACAGAGAGAGACAGAGAGGCAGACAGACAGAGGTAGACAGGCAGAGACAGAGAGAAAGAGACAGTGAGACAGAGAGACACAGACAGACACAGAGACAGAGACAGACAAAGACAGAGAGAAAGAAAGACAGACAGACACAGAAGACAAAGGGACAGAGACAGAGACACACTAAACCAAGCACAGTGGGGAATGAGGACCATTCCTGAAGCATTTATTCCCTAAGACTGCCAGGGAACCCTTCATGCCTGCTGCCACGGTTGGCACTCCTCACCACCTCTGCAAGGCTTCAAGCAGCACCTTGGAAGAGCACGGTAGGGGAAGGGATGTGCCCTTCCACAACCCATTAGCTTTCACGATGTCTTGGGTATGGACACCGATAAATGGGCACCTCTTATAGGGTATGTAGGAAACCTCTTAGAGACTGCCCAAAACTACCGAGACCAGTACGTCCTGCAGGGGACTCATGAAGTATGCTCTCTGGGCTTCAGAATTTACCAGGATGAAAAGGACACGTGCTGTTCCACTTGGGGAACAGACTCTGATCCATCACTTGGTTGGAGGGGTCAGTGAGCATAGCGGGTAATGAGATGTTTCTTATGATGAACATTGAAAAGAGCCCTGAAGGACGTCAGCCCTACTCCGCCTTCTCTTCCCTGCTCTGTCCTCTACTGCTCAGTAAATCTGTCCCACACACGGGAGCAAGGAGGCTGGGCTTCAGGTCAAGGGGGTGAGGGAGTTCTGATTTCCAACCGCAACTTGACGATCAGGTTGAGCAAAAAGCCAGCTTGAGCATGGTGCGACCCTGACTGAGTCCTGCAAACTATCACTGGCAGACCCACAAAGGACAACTATGAGTCGCTGCACACTTCTGTCGTTGCTCAGGTGCTGAGGTGCTGTGTCAGTGACCGCTGGGCCAGCTGGAATGACTTTCTTCTGGGTGGCAGCTTCAAATGCTCCCAGAAACACACCTAATGTTCACCGGCAGTTCACAGTTACATCATCTGGGCAGAGTGAGAAAGTCACAAAGGTTGGAGCCATGCTCTTCGAAGGGACGCAAGCCTCAGACATGTCTCTTCCACTGCTGTCTTTTAGGGTACGGAGACAAGGGCTGGTTTTGCGCTTCACTGGGTCACTGGGAGCCCTGCCCTTGGAAGGAACTGATGCAGTTCTCAGCGGGACACTGGTTCTCACAAAAGAGTTGTTATACAGGACCAAGTGTGATGTTAAAATCCTCTCTGGCTTCTAGGCTTGCACTCATGTGAAACTCCCACAATGATGGCGTCTACTATGTAACACAATCAAGGGGGCCTTCAGAGTAGGGCTGATGGCACTGAACCTCTAAATCCATGAGCTAAATAAATCTCTTTGCACAGTACTTGGCCTCAAGTTTTTTCTTTTTTTAAAATAGCAACAGAAAGGGAATTAAAACAGATGAAAAACAGAGTGTGTCCAAGAAGAGACCTGCCTCGCTAAGCAAATGGTACTGCATGGAGACATGTTGGAGGCTCAGAGACTTACCCCTGAGGAATGGAACATAGAGGCTGAGTAGCTGCTTTGTGAGATGTGATGGCTGCACACACGTGTCTGCTCAGCACAGCATGGTGCGCTGTGCAAGCAGGAAATTGGGGATTTAATGCCAAATTTTCCAATTGTTAACTATATGATATATATGAGTTACTTTCAACCATGCTCTGTGAAATGGAGGAGGTAACATGTCTTTCTCTCTTACGGTTGCTGTAGAAAACAAATGGAACAATGTACACAGGATCCTTTGCTCTAAGGTATCAGTAAGTACAGATTTAACATTTATAATCTGAAAGTTCAAAAATGAAGATGCTCCAAAACCCAGAACTCTGTGAGCTCTCATATGACACCTCAAGTGGGAAACTCCACAGCTTACATTAAGAGATGACTCGCAGTCCAAGCGCAAGGGTGAGTGCTCGCCTCGGCAGCACAGACCCAAAATGCAGCTGAGGTTAAAACACTGTGCAAAATCCCCGTCAGGCTGTGTGTACGAGGTACAGATGAAACACGATTGAGTTAAGCATTCTCATCCTCCAGACATCTCATTATGTAGATGCAAATGTTCCAAAATCTGAAAAAACTCAAAAATTGAAACATTTCCGGACTCACATATTTTGGATGAGAGATACTCAACCTGTACAAGTATCAGTGATAAAAATGCTGTCCTGCTAAATTCTAAGCACATATGTGTCATTAAAAAAATAACTCTACTTGGAGAAAAAAGAGAGTAAACCAAGTGTCAAATGTACTTATAAAAGGAGAAAAGCAACACAGTGCTGGTAAACCAGGGACAGCATGAGACGGAGATAAAAAATGCCACCAGGTCACGGCATCTAGGTCTATCATCAGATTTCTTCCCTCCCAGCAGCGGGCATGAACATCCAAAAGATTTGGGGTAGCCTCTGGCAGAAGAAAGAAGGGGACCAAAAATAAGGATGGGTAATGGAGGGGTCTTGTTTTTTGGAATGGGTCTTGCAGGGTTCCAGTAAGCTAGCGGGGCCAAGATGGGTCTTGAAAGAGGGGATACTGACCCCTTATTTAGATGATGCTAAGATTAAGGAGAAGAGAAATAAAGAGGGGATGAACACAAACTCCAGGGTGATGGTTTGGACAAATCTATTCTAAAGGTCTATGCGTTGAAGGCTTATTCTCCAGCCTGTGGCTGCCTTGGAAGGTGGTCAAATGTTTAGGAGGTGGGGCCTGGTGGGAGGAAGTTAGGTTATTGCGAGTGCTCAGGAAGGAAATATTGGGACCTTGAGCCCTCTCCTTTCCTTTGGCTTCCTAGTCACCACGGAGTGAGGGCCTCCTCCGCATGTTTGCACCATGACGTGCTGCCTCACCAAGGCTGAGGGCAATGAGGTCAAGGGACAATGAACCGAAACCTCTAGACTGTGAGGGAAAACCGTCTTTCCCTCCTTACAAGGTGATTATTGTAGCTCTTTTGTTACATTAACAGAGAGCAGACTAACACCGCTCCTAAGTAGGTAACAGAGATGGCAGGAATAAGCAGGGTGGTCTTGATTGATAACTGCATCAAAAGCAAACTGTGAAAGGGTACAGGGGAGCCTTCCCCAATCATCAGCTGTCTTGGACCACTACCTTTTGGGTTTGGTATGCTATGTGCTTGTAGAATTAGCTCAACTGCCCATGGTACGTCCAAGACCAAACATGAAGTACTTCAGATGAAAAGGCTTGGTCAGGGTGTCTCATTAGTAGTTGTCTTATTAGGAACTTTCCTTGTTGATGTGACACAAAACCCAGCATCCATAACCTAAGAGAGGAGAGGCCTATTTGGGCTCACAGTTTCAGGACCCTGCATCCTAGAGGCACGTCTCAGTACTCAGCATGGGCGAGCGAAGTTCACCCACTCTAGGCAGAGAGAGGCTAAACTCGACAAACAGTAGGACAGTGCCAAGTCTGCCATCAGAGACCCAACGATTGTGTCCTTGGAGACAGGTGAAGGAGCAGGACTGCACAGCTGAGCCACAGTGAGCTCTCCTCTGTCATTTCTACAAAGCCCAGAAAAATCTGAGCACAAAGAACATGCTAGGGGGGGCTGAGAAGTCTCTAAGCAAAGCCTTGGAACCATGCTAGATTATACTGGCTGCGAAGCAGTTTTTGAGATAGCGTCAGTTAGGGATCCGATGACAAAGAAAAAGATGGGATGGGCCAGGGCAGAGAACTTTCAGCAACAAACTATGGGGAAAGACTCTGAAGTGAGTTGGGTGTAGAGGTGCTTGACTGTAATTCCAGCACTCAGGAGGCTGAGGCAGGAGGATCGCTGTGAGTTTGAAGCCAGCCTGGGCTACAAAATGAGTTCAAGGCCAGCCTGAAGTACACAGTGAAAACTTGTCTCAAAAACAAAAACAAGGACACTGATAGAAGGTGAAGGAGAGCTTTGTGTCTGGGAAAGTATTTCAGATCCTCCTCTTCTCAAGCTGAGCTAGCTGGATCTTAGGGCAGAGACCAAAGACTGCATTTAACTACACCCTCAGCACAGCCTGCCTGAAGAAGATGGGCTTAAAGAAATGGTGTTGACCATTAGAGAAATCAAATTAAAATTAAAATAATACTGGATTTTATCTCACTCTGGAAAGAATGGCTATTATCAGGAAATCAGATAATAACGGATACTGGCAAGGCTGGGTTGGAGAAGGGGAACTCCCTACATTGCTGGTTGGAATGTGAACTAATCCCACGACAATGGCTATAAGTATGAAGATTTCTCAAAAATATAAAGATAGAAATTCCATGAGACCCAGCTATTCCCCTTCTCCATATGTGGAAGAGATAAAGACACCATATTACATAGATACACGCATACTCATGCGTATAATGGCACAATTCATGATAGATAAATCTTGGAAGCTGCCTGCCTGTCCACCAACAGATGGTGCATAAAGAAAATGTGGGGTCTATACACAATGGAATACCATTTAGCTCTAAAGAAGGATAAGTTAGACACATTTGTAGAAAACAAAAGCACCTTGAAAACACAATGTGAACTGAAATAAAGCAGATACATACGCTTAGATATCATATGGTTTCTCTCATATGAGAAATCCTAAGTACAAATAAAGAATTTAAAAAAGGTTGATAAGACAGCAACAGGAGCAAATTGAAAGAGGACCAACGATGGAGGATGGGGGCAAAGATGGAGGGTGGGAGGAGGGGAAGGGGACATGAAAAGGTTTAAGATGTATGATGCACAGTTTACATAAGACTCAACAGATGCAAATCAATCTCTTCCCACCCAAAATGCCCTCATAGCTTTAAATTTCCCTTTCTCTTAAAGCCTGTTCAGAAGTGATCACCATAAGCTCACAGTATCATGCGCTGCTTAAAGATAAGATACACTCTGAGAAAAGTGTCATTGGGTGATTTGTTGTACGAACACTGCAGAGGGTACTTGCACAGACTAAGACAGTTACAATATCACTAGATGATATAATCTGATTGGACCACCATTGTATAGGCCCATTATTGATCACGTGTCACTTGGTACATGACTATATCTTGATGGTAAGCCTTAGATAGCTCGTTGGAAGTTGTCCTAAGCCAGTTACAATCCCCACTTAGTTTAATGGTGACAATACATTTTAAAAGACAATATAACACTTCTTGTAAAACAATAATGGATGTAGCACACTCCCTAAACCCTTAGAATAGATGGTGGAATCTCAACTTTAAATCAGTATGGCACACAGACTAAGCACCTATTTGTCAGGGAACTTTGTCAGGGATGAGGTATCTGTTTATAATATCATTGTCCAAGTTTCTGAATCTGCTTGCATACTTTGGGAAGTCAGAGGACTCAATATCTCACTAATCCTGTAATGATATCTCCTTCATCAAAGCCACCTGGATTGCCTGTTGGGGGCACTGGGAATCTTACTGGGTCTGGCAGGAGAATGGAGGAGCACACCTGGATGTAGAAACACCCAACACTGAATATGATACATTCTCTAAAGCCCAATAGGCCATCATTTATCTTCCAGGGGATCCTTTCTGCTGAGCAATATCACAAAGGACCTGAGTTACTACTTACACCAAGATTTAATAACACATTCCAATGCACTCTCTAGTTCTCTGTGTCTCCCAGATTTCTAATTTTGCTCCTTTTTATAAGATAAAAGAAATTTTTTCCTCCTTACTTGAATATTGTGAGGATTTCCATTTTGTGTCTCTCCACTGGATAAAGAACAAACAATGGCACCACACATAGCAACAGCCCCACCGTCATCCCACATACTGACCACTGAGGATATAGAGGTAAGCAGGACACTGCCCTCCTGAAGACCACACCACTGTCAAAGGAAACAGGCTTAGGTCTCCTGTGCCAACTCTAGTCTCCAATGCCAACTGCCACTCAAAAGGAAGCCAAGTGAAAAGCAAGACTCCCACAGCTCTACAGTGCTAGGTACAGTTCTTAATTCCTAAACCTTTCAATCACGTCTTTCTGGTCACCCAGGGGCTTACCATGGGAGGGAAGTTTTAACTGCTTATGTGGTTTTCTGACATCCCCTGTGTCCTTTATGTTTCATAAGGCCTGAAGGAGCAATTATGAACACGTCTTTATGCTACTAATCTTTAATTCCTAACCAAAAGTTTACTCAACTTGCTAGACCAACTGAGGCAATCCATTCCTTCTGTGAGATCTATTAAAGATGCATTTAGCAGGCTGGACTCATCTAAGTCTACAAACTATGGTTGCCACAGCAGAGCTGGGACTTACTATGAGTCATCAGAGCTTGTTATGAAACCTGTTTATGCCCATTTTACTTGTTATGAGAATCGCATTATGTAGTTAAATATTATGCAAACTGATTTAATATGAGTGTGGAGAGACCAGTTCCCACGCACACTCACATGCTAAGTTGGGTGCATTTATGAGTCTTAACTGCATCAAAGTAGGTATAAGTTAAAAAAAAAAAAAAAGGGAGGAAAATCATCTTAAAAACTTAGAAAAATTTTACACTTGAACTACATCAAAGTTTAGTATTTTTTTCTACTTTAAAGCAATTGAAAATGGTAATGTTAAACAATGCATTAACGATATAGTTAGGCAGAAATGATTCTAATGCAAATGAATAGGTCTATAATCAAAATAAAGCCACTAAGATTCAGGAATATATATATAATCTATAGATATATAGATTTATATGCTCAGAGCTATACCTCAATGCTCCACTTCTACATATTTTGAATCAAAATTAAGTGCATATGTATTTTTATTAATTTTCCTCACTGATTTTTATTTCTTAGGATGGGACCGTATCATTTCTGATCACAATCATGTTACTAAGAATGCTATGTTTATCTCTGGCTCAAAATAGGTAAGCCAAAGACCCTCATCTCAGACAGGGCACATGAGAATCATCAAGATGAGGTCACAGCTTAACCACCAAGTCACCGAGCCTGGGGACGGTGAGGGGAGCCTTCTCGTCAACCTCACCACCGCCCTGCAGCCTTCCCGGTCCCAGCACTGTAAGAGGGATACCACTGCATACCCATCCTTTTTGTAAAACTCCAGCATCATATTATCCGTGGCAACGCTGAGGGGCCGGCGGGCCTGCTCGGGCTGGCGCCGGTCGGCAGGGTCCATGTCCGGGGAGGGCGTTGAGCTGTAGTTGGCATTATGGTTCACGTGTACTGGACTCCCATAATTGCCGGTAATGTTGAACTCTATCTCTGTAGGGAAGAAAGAATTGGCACGCATGATCTCTGGGGGTACCACACTTTCCTGGTTGGAGACAGACTCTACTTCACATCTGACTGCTGGAAAAACACACCCTCCAGTTCTGGACCAGGTAATCTATTGTTACCACTTTATTCCATTCATATAACTCATCTCAAATACATCCAAAGAAGGGAAGATATGTGGTCATCTAGACTGACCTTTAACATGTTCATGATGGAGCAGTAATTCTCATGTCTAACAACCGGGCAACCTGTACCACCAGCGGTACATGTACGACTGTCACATCAGGTGGCACGTTCCACCCAACAGGACCGTCCTGTGCTGCTAGGTAGGACCGTCACACATGTACCACTAGCGGTCCAAGCTAGTAGGAACATGCTAATAATGCCCACCTGTGATTTTAAAACTTAAAACTTAACAAGAACAGATGGATACTGTCTGAAAAAGACAAAAATCATCTATTTCATACTTCATGCTCTGGAGTAAAACTCCTGAGCAGCTGTAATTCAGGAAAGTAACAAAACCATTGAAAGAAAACACTATGACCACTGTTAGTTAACATTATCTGAGCAATTCTAGCCAATGGAATTAGTCATGAAAATATAATAATCTATTAATGTTGATGAATAACAACATTATCTTACTATAAAATCAAAGAAAATGAATTGAAAAGATCAGACGCATTATGAGAGTTTGCTAAGGTGTTTGCTATTTCTCAGATGCAAACACCGCTTCCCAGCAACGGATGAGAATAGATTAGCTCTGCACACCTCTGCCTGTCTACCCACGACGGCAATCAATAAGCTCACCCACAGGAAGCACAAAATTACTGTCTCTGCCTCCTTTATTGCTTTATTTTGACTTCCTATATTTACTTGACTTTGTGTCATCAATAGAACTCAGAAGATCAGCCATGCACAGGGAAAACAGATGTGGTAAAAGAAAGATACACTTCTTTGAGGTCAGGTCAGCACCGATTGGTCACAGAATTACTGGCATTTTGCTCTCATATTGAGTGAGTGGCTGCCACCTGGCTAAACGCTGGCCCTTGATGTTTATTACACAGAAGATACAGTATTAATTTTCGAGAGGGCAAGCACCAAATTTAGTGTAACAGCTGTATCTCTTTAAAACTGCCACTGCCGAGAGACATGCTTCTGCCATGGTGCATGCATGGTTTGGAACATCCCTGAAACTCACTCAGGGGAAGCTGCTTTGAGAACCTGATTTTGCAGCAGGCTGAAAAAAAAGCACCTCACTGCCTTAGAGCCTCACCTGCAGGTACTGAGAGGCAATACAAAGGGCAGAGCTCAGGACAACAAAACCACAACAACAAACAAAAACGACAACAGTCAAGGTGACCCACTGTGAGCTGTGAATCAAAGTCCCTATGCACCCCAGAGTGAGTATCCTTCTGCATCCATAAATTGAAGTTTAGAAAAACAGGACTCTCTCTCCTTTTTGTATGAGCTTTCTGTGAATCATGGGCTTGAAGAAACCATCATACAGACATTAAACCAGTACAAGTCACAGCACCGGCAGTGGGCACCTTCACGCGAGAATTTCCCTCAGGCAACGAAGCTGCCCGAACTCTTGTTACCTAGGTGCATTTGTGGGTATGTCTAACTGTGTGTAGGATGATTAAAAACAAATGCATCAGAAGCAACAGAAGCCTGGCGGCAGTGGTACTGGGTTTCAAAAGCTTTGAGCTCACAGGTGTCTCCCTGCTTCCGCCTCTGGCCCCTCCCCGCAGCTAGCAGGACACTGTCACGTACCCCCAGGGAAGAACCAGTCCGCGTGCTGGATGATGGGCTCGATGATCCCGACAATCTGCAGTGACACTGTGGTCATCATCTCGGTGATGTTCCTGCAAGCACAGAGCAGGAGGGTGCGGTGTGGAGTTTACCAGTCACGGAAGAGTGAGGAAGCCCTGGTCCTCTGGCCACCCAGGCTAGACTGGAACTTTGCAGGCCTAACCTGGTTTTCTCTGGGATGGATACTTCAGCCTTCTGAATGAGGACAACACTAAGGCACATGAGCAATATCCACCAAAGGCACTTCCAACACAAGGTGAGGCCCTCATCACTGCCGGGTCCATCCTCTTCCCAACCCTGCTGTCTCCTTAGAAACAGCCCTCCGTCCCTCTCAATCCTGATGCTAGAAGGTATCCTCTATAACAAGAGTCCAGGGGCTGGAAAGAGCTTGCCTTGACTGTGCCATCACATCCCTCCCCTCCTTCCTTTCATCCTGATGCTGACTTTGATTGACTCAGGGAAGGCTCGTCCTTCAGACTTGGAGCTTTGTAGAATTCTCTGCCTCTTCCTGAGCCTAGGACTTGAATAATAACTAGGGCTTGGAAAATAACTGAGATAGATAACGATGTGCAGCCTAGCCTAGCCAGTCCTGTGCGTTCCTGTGCCTCCCCAGGCCTCTCTCCCAGTACTCACCCTTCTGCTTGTGGCCATAGGAGGTTGGGTCCTAAGACAATCGCCATGTTACTGGGAGTCATCTTGTTTACATCTTGATATTCTGATAACTTGGATAAAAACTTGATCAAGTACCTGGAAGAAAAAAGGAGAAGGGTCAGATTTACCTAGGGCTGGACACCAGCCACGCTTCCCAGAACTGGATAGAAACACCTTTCATGGAGCACATCTCATGGATACCAGAACTCATGCACCTCCAATATAATGAATATGCTTTCTGTCAGGAAACAGTAACCCCGTGTCCTCCTTCTCAGATCGCCCCGAGGCAGAGGTCAACCTCTGCTTGGTCAGTGTTGGCCAGGAAAGTCTCTATCTTTGCTCTTAGCTTAGAAGAGGATGGCTAAGCCCCTTCCCTCTTGTCAAACCCTGACATCTGCTTTCCTCCCTGAGTGCAGAGGTGATAAAGTGTCTGGGTATTGTCACCAGAGCCACCTACACATGAGGTGAGATGCCCACTGGAGTTACCCAAGGGTTTTCTGGAAAGATCTAACAAACAAAAAGTTACATATAGGCTTAGCATATGACTAGGCAATTCTACACCTCAGGCTATGCCTGAGAGAAGTCCACATGTGAACTGGTACACACATGTTCAGAGCATCGTTATTCGTAACAGCCAGAAAGTGGAAACCACTAAAATGTCATCAAAGGACACATGGGTAAATATGAAACACGGGACAACTACAGGTGCCAGGGGCTGGGTTGGAGGATGCAGAGTGCCTGCGAAGGGGAATCTGGTTTCTTTCCACAGTAATGAAAATGGTAGTATCAACTCTATACATGTACTGAAAACCACTAACTAGCATACTTTTTAAAAAGCTCAATGTTATATGAATGACACCTCAATAAACTTATTATTAAAAAGACTCAGTGAAGAAGTTATATATGAATCAGGCACAAAAGCCTGCCCTGGCACACCATATCAGAACCCCATTAGGCTCTAACAAGAAACTTCAGGAGCGAATGTTTTCTACAGTATTCTCATTTAAAAAAAGTTGTGGTCCTAAGCCTGTTTTCCTTAACTCATGACAAAATAACTTCCTTGGAGGGTTCCTTGCCCCCGTCCTCTGTCAGCTCACCAGAAAGAGGACCAACCCTGTCATCCTACCAAGCAGCCACTATAGTGTCACCTCTCCTAATCGTGTTTTAACCTTGAAGAGACCACACAGGATGGACCAGGATGTGAGATGGATGAGAGCAGTCACTTTACAGACTGGCCAGTGGCCAAGGACCCTGGACATCAACATGTGGTGAGCTGTACTGATTGGATTTTGCTCTTGGGACTTTTTTAATTGTAGAAAAATATACATACATTGTACCATTTTACCATTTTAACCCATTTTAGAGGTGTGCATTTCAGAGGCATTAAGTCACAATGTTGGACATCCATCGGTACCACCCATCTCCACAACCTTTTCATCTTCTCAGATTGAAACAGGAGCCACTAAATAATCACCTTGGTGTTCTCCACTTCCACCAACCCTGGCAACCACCATTCTTCCTCCTGTCTCTATGCATCTGGCTATTCTAGGTAACTGTTAAAAGTAGAATCATAAATATTCACATTTTTGAGTCTTGTTTGTGTCATTTAACACCATTTATTCAAGAAACATCCACACTGTAGCAAACATCAGGATTTCATAATTCATTGTATATATACGCTAGATTTTTAATCTATTTTTCTGAAGTAACTGGGTTACCTCTACTTTAGTAATGCTGCTTAGAACACGGTTGCACAAAAATCAAGTCCCTGTTTTCAATTCTTTGGGGGGTAGTGTTAACTCATGTGGTAAATTCTGTGTAGTTTTTTGAGAATCTGCCATACGATTGCTCTTGGGATTTTTAAACAGGAAAACACTTAGAATCAGGCAGATGGCAATAAGAGCTGAACCTGAAAATCTGTGCCCTAAGGACCAGGAGGAGACATGGCAGGGCTAGAAGGGACCAGAAAGACAAGGGGCTTAGAAAGCAGGATGTGAGGGAAGGGAAGCCAGGAGCAGGAACAAGATCTCCGGAGCAAGGGGAAGGAGCAAAAAAGGTGACAGATGGACTCAGTCTCCATATTGTGTGTGTCCAGGAGCATCTATTTTTAATCATAAGTCCCCAACATTTTAAGATACTTGCAAGTTCAGCACAGTGGTGCAGGTCTATAACCCTGGCACTCTGGGACGCTAAGGCAGGAGGATCACACGTTTGAGCCCAACCTGAGCAACGTGGCAACTCAGTGAGACCCTCAAAATAAAAAAAAAAATTAAAAGCTAGAGATGTAGTGTAGTGTACAAGTCCTGGGTTCAATCTCCAGTACCACCCCTGCCCCCAAAGATACCTGAGTCACACATGGTGCCGTGTAAATCAAAGAACTTGGTTGAGCTACCTTATGGCTGGTTTCTTACATAGTCTCCAACATGCTACGGGTTCTTCAAGCCTATTTCCTTGTCTTAAAATAGTATAACTATCTCTGCTCTATCTCACAGGTTGTGAGAGGCTGGGAAGAGACATGATCATTCAGACCACCACAAAATGCTGTACATTGCTGATTACTATGACGTTTACCTAGGAGGAAACTTTATCTAGATCTTAAAATGACCCTGATTCGTGTGCCTCCGGCTCTCACTTACCGGATGTTGTTATGATTGGCCTTGGGCAACTTCTCACAAGCATTCCACAGAGCCTGAAGCCTCTTGTCTTGCTCCTGAATACTGGGAAATGGAAAAGTCACTGGTTGGGCATGAATCAGTGAGGTCTTGTTGCCAGTCACCTTCAAATTGAACAGTAAGGAGCTGACCACTATGACTGACCATGTTTTATTATTAAAAGTTTGCTTACCGTATTTCCCTGTCTATGCTCTTCTTCTTTCTTATCCAATGCTAGTTTAATAAAAGTTGCTCTGTGCACACCACATGTCTCAGGTGAATGTGCCAGGCTGGCATGTGAGGGTAGGATGGCAGAGCCAGAGATATGCTCTGGAGTGCGGGGCTATGGGCTTACCAGGATACAGGAGTCAATTCTATCTGCAGACCATGAGGACCATATTAAGTTCTTTGACATCTGGCAGATAATAGATGCTACGTAAATTAATTTTTCAGTAAGTAAATTATACAGGCATAAAGAAATGTCACCTTAGGAAACATAACTCAGGGAATGTATAATTTCCACTAATTGAAGGATTTTTCACTGTACAAAGTGATTTACTATAAGGGCTTCTTTATTTGTAAAGTCTATTGATCATAAGGGATTCTTTATAAGCCCACTTATAAGTCTATTAGGTTTCTTCCTCTCCTCTCTCTTGATAAATATTTATCTTACAGGGTTACATTTTTTTACCTAAATCTACATCAAGGGCTACATGGTAGGAAAGCATTACTTCAAAGAACTTTTTCTCCTGAAGAACGGAGAGATAAACACTCGTATGAGGTCTTAGGGATGTGTCCATCAATTATACACGGGCTGGATACCTCAAGGTCCCTTATCAACCCTGACCAAGGAGAGAGAGATTCTTTCTTCTTGTTTCAAGTTTGAGAAAGAGGTAGGCATTATCCACAAGGAACTTTAACTAGGAGACCAGCGTGGAAACCGAACACTCCATTTAGGAATGGAAAGTAATAGACCGTACCTGTGGTTAAAGGCTGACCGAGGCCAGGCTTGTGTGGAGAACTGCAAGAGACAGCTCCACCCTGACCCTGCACTTGAGCCAATCCTTCAGCCTCTGTGAAACTTACGTTCTTCCTCTCTGCAGTGGGGTCCCTAACAATACTTCGTACAGAGCTGTTAGAGCCGTGTAAAGTCTGCACAAAGTCCCCGGCTTTGTTGCTAGTTCATTAAAAGCTCTCAATCAAAAGTAAACGCTGGCATTTGAGCAGATGTTGCAGCCACTGACGTACTTTGTGTCATTTGCTGAGGCAACTTCATGACACCCAGCTCCATTCCCCTTTCTGTTGCTCAACCTTTCTTAAAATAACTGGTGTAGGTGCAGTTAATGGTAGGCCACTTCCCTGGACAGGCCTCAGCCCCCAGACCCCAGAAGACCAGACCAGAATGGGCTCACTTGTGCTAAGTATCATAAAATCAAAATGAACTTAGAAAGGTCCAGTTTTTCAAAACTAGGAGATTCACAGCAATGACAAAGCATGACAGGAAGTTCCCTCTCCTCTCCTTTAGCCCTATAGGAAGAGTCCCTTGGAAATAACCAATTTACTCAATGTTCCCTGTTTCTGCTCTTTTAGCTGGTCAGCCCATAAAACCAGTGTCACTTGCTGTCTTGGTCACTGTGGATAAAATATCTGAGACCCACAACTTCAAGGAGGGGAGGTCTGTCTTGGTTTGGGGTTTTTAGATGATTTGGTCCAGGCAGCTGGCTCCAAGGCAGACAGGGCAAGATGGAAGGGTTTGGTGGAGGGCGGCTGTTCAGGGGGCACAGCCAGGAAACACAGTGAAAGGAGGCGTCAGGGCGGGAGCTTTGCCCTCCCGTCACACCCTCAGAGACTGGCCTCTTTACACCAAATCACAGCTTTTAAGAGCAACTCACTGACGAGTACCTCACCTCCTGATCCAGGCTCCTTTCAAAAACCCCACCTCTGCACTCATGAGGGGGACACCTGCTCAGCTCATGGAAACACCCAATTTTACCGAGCTGCCTACTGTCCATTTCTAGAATTCAAAAAGCTAATGAGATCTTTAAATCTGTAGCAATTTTGCTATGGACAAAAGGCAAATGATCTTCAACCTTTTCTTTAACGAAAACCTCCCCACTGTGTGCCAGGCACGATCCTGGGGGCTTGGAAGTAAGAGGGAATCAGGTTAGAATGCACCAAGCTATTCTCCTGTTCACTTTACAGCCTCAAAATTATGTATTCAGTGAAAAAGGGGACAGTTCCATTAAAGGCTCTGGTTTCACTAGCAGCACAATTTTGCTCTAGAGAGGCAGGAAGTGCTATCTGTGGGTAAGCCCTGGGCTCCTTGAATCCCAATCCTCACTCAGCCATGTATTGGCTACGAAGTAACCAGCTGCTGCATACCCATCCTGCACCTCTGCAAAATGATGAAGAACCTGCTTCCCAGAGTTCTTGTGGAAATTCAGATAAAATGTGTAATGAGCCTACAGCAATGTTAAGCCTCTAACGAGCACTCACCAAAGGCAGCCCTTATTCCTACCATCCTGGGATTCACTCCCTCCATCACAATGAGATAAAAGAGGGTCATATATTCAGCCAGCCTTTTAATAATGCGCTGTAAATAGTATTATGCAACCCGATTGGCACAGACTTCCTTGGTCACGGTTGGTTTCACTTGTCAGTCCCCGTGAGTCTCTTTTAGTCCCCAGAGGTAGAGAGGATCGATAAGAAATGTGTGAGGTGATGGACACGCTATTTATCCTGATGTGATCATAACACAGTGCACCAGTGTATTAAAATATCACATTATACTCCGTAAATCTGCACAATTATTATGCATCAATTTTATTTTGTCAATTAAAATTATAAAGGACTCATCCAAAATTGTTAGCAGCACCAGATACCTTCTCCAGGGTTCTTTCTGAGAAGCTAAAATGTTTGTTCTTGATGCCTAGTTCCATGACTAGAGATCTCTAGAGATTATGTTTCTAACATCTTGCTAAGGTGAGTTGCTCACTCCAGACCTCCTCTCAGAAAACTGTTCTCCCTCCTTTCTCCTTCCTCTAGATGATCTTTGTCCTGGTCTCCACCACCATCACCCTCTGCCAAATCGCCCACCCCAGTGGTGTCTACGTCCTCTCTTTAGCCACTGACCTAGTAAAAGATTACTCCAAATAACAGTGCTGACTCAAAACAGCTCTGACCTATGGCAGAAGAGAACCAGTGATACCTTCCTTCTGCCTCTAGAAGCTTAGGAAAGAAGCCGGAAACCACAAGAGAAGACCACACTGCAGCGCACGTGACTGTGTGGTGGTGGCTTAGCCTGTGGCCTCTGCCCGTCTGCTCTCCTTATCTCCAGCATCCCAGCTCACCACGACGGTCCTGAGCTTTGCTCCTGTCACTCAGGCACATCTCCAGGAGTGGGGGACGGTGCGCACTACCCACATGCAATGTGTTTATATTATCATGTAGTGGTTGCTGAAATATTATGATTACGGTAGAGAGTGAAGCTCCCCTCCCCACTCTCCGCCCGATTCTTATCACTGCCTTTGCCTGAGTCTTTCCAGAATCATCTTGTACACATGGACACATTTCTATTGTGCTCAGTGTATAAGGAGTTTATTTTTCTTTTTCCAAAACAGAATACTATATGTGTCCTCATCAACTTGCTTTATTTTACTCAACAATAAATCTTTCTTTCCCTATTGGCCTGAATAGTTGTAACTGTTTTTTAACTGTTCCAGAGTATGTCACAGGATACACACACTGCAGATTCTTAAGCCACGCTCATCGCTCATCCAAGGACCTCCTGTTATCCCAAATGAGGCTGTAGTCCGCATCCTTGTGTGTGTCTATTTGGAAACATATCAAAAGCATTGCTCCATGATGGATACCAAGAAACAGAGTTGCTAGAATCCAGGTTACAGGCTTCCGTGATTTCAGTAAATAGACTCAGCCCTCTGCACTGGTTGGCTCCCCATCCCCAATGTAATCAGCTGTGAACTACGTATGATGTTGTGAGGCTTATGATGGTTATACCTGTGCCAAACGCGGACAGACATTTTTTTCTTATCATTAATCCCTAACCAGTATCATATAAGAACTACTTACGTAACATTTGCACTGTATGACTTACCATATTACAAGTAATCTAAAATATATGAAAGGATACCTGTAGGTTGTTTGAAAATGCTACACATCTTATGTAAGGGTCCTGGAACCAGTATTTCACAGATACTGAGGGACAGTACTTCCTGGTAAGCTCTAATCCACAAGATAACCCAACACAAGGTACTCACTTGGAAGCCTGGATCCACTCATCATAGAGTTCAAAGGTCATAAGAGGCTCTGGCAGTTCTCGGAGGTAAGATTTCAAAGCCCCTGTGCATAAATACAATAGTGTCTCTGAGGCATTGTGGCAAACAGATACAAGTTTCACCAGCCTGTACCATCCCTTGGGCTCCACTGGAGACGAATCCCCTGACCAACATGAAAGATTCAATGGTGGCTTCTCACATGTATGAACTTGGGCTCTGGACTGACAACTGCCTTAAACCCTTCCCCATTTCTCTTGAACATGAGGGAGACCATCCTCCCAGGGGTCACAGCAATCCAGGCACAATGCCGGGCCCTGTGTGGACATACCTAAAGCCTGTGCGGAAGCCACCGCACAGATGCTACTGCCATGGAGGCACAATCCGTTCCTCACCATTCCCTGGAGTCTCTGCTGAGAGCACCCTGCTCAGAGGCCACATGCACCCACCTGCAATCGCATGAGGGTCAGCTGAGTACTCCTGCACGTCCACCACACAGCAGTCCAGTGCAGCTTTAAGCTTCTTCAGCTTGGAGGCAGAAGGAGCTACACGGAAGAGGCCCTAACAACAGGACAGAGGGTCAGTGCACAGCCTGCAACTCGATGACACAACAGGAAAGGTGTTCCAAAACCTTCAATGCACATTTCACCCAACTCCATGAGTCAGCACTGTGAGTTTCTGTCTCCTCCCTCCAACACAAGCAACTCGGGAGAGAAAGAACTAGGTCCCCCTTCCCCACCACGCAGCCTAGTGTCTGTGTCTAGTGTCAGGGTGGTTCTTGGTACTGGTGCATTGCACTGGTGTACATAAGACTTCTTGTTCTCATAGACTTAAACTCTGGAGAATAATTTGACTGAGACATGAGGTCTAGCAAGTTGGATGAGAAAGGGCCTATGGTGTGTGTGTGTGTGTGTGTGTGTGTGTAAGTGTATGCATGCACGTGTACACACTCATTGGGAGGCTCCAGATAAAGAGTCCATGAACTAAATAGTCTCTGTCCTCAGAGGAAGGGCAGATTGGGATTGGTGTGTGAGGGAGCCTCCTTGTTCCATTCTTTGTGCTATTTTGAAACAGCTTCCACTTCATCCAAATGAATCTCTGCACTTTGTAGAGCAAAAGTAAGCTATGAACAGAAAGGGAAGAGAAGGACAGGATCGTGCCGAAGAGAAGGTAAACAGAGGCCAGGGTAAGAAAGAAGCCTCTGCTTCCCTGGGAGGCTGAGCATGAATCCTGTCTGTCTGTCCCTCCCTGCCTGCTCCAAGCACTCTGTGATGTGACCTGTAGGCTGAGAAATGAGCTGGCAGATTACTCCTCACTTCTTTAAACTTCTAGGTCCACAAAGTCTTCAACTTCCTTTAGAAGACAACGCTCCTGGTCTAGAATGCTAAGTTTTTGGCCTGCTACAATGTCTGTCTCTTCTTGGGAGAGAGCTTGTCAGATAAAAAGGTGTGCAAACCTTTGCAGTACATGAGTGGGCTGATCATATTTGTATTAATGTATCTGTAAAGCTGCTGTGTCAAACACAAGAGGAATGATTTAGAGCTTCAAAACCCTGCACCACTGCCAATCAAGAAGAGCCCAGAGTATGTAGTGATGGACAATGCCACGGCAGGAGGAAGAGCCGCCAAAATTGCAGTCATCCCTCACTTTAACTTTCCATAATTCTAAACACCCATGGCCAAGTGCAGTTTGCAAACACTAGATAGAAAATTCTAGAAATAAAACATTCATAAATTTTAAAAACTTATTGCAAAGCATTGATACAACCCCTCTATTAGATATTATTGCTACCTTGTACTAGGTTTAATTTCTAAATTAAGTTTTATCTCAGGTGTATACGCATAGGAAAAAACAGTATAGTATATGTAAGGTTTGGTGTTATCTATAGTTTCAGGCATCCACTGGGAGCCCGGGAACACATCCCTGGAGGTAAAGTGTGAATACTATGTAAGCATTTAGATTCTGATCACGTAACTCGAAGAACACTGTTCCATTAAGGCAAGGACTGCGGAGATAGTGAGGCCAGTTTTCGGGGTGTTAGAGGAAAACATGATGGGGGCATGTTGAAGATTGACAGCAAACACAGGAAGGGAGGAATTCTCACAGAGGCCGAGGTGAAGTAGAGGAGAAGATGGTGACCCTGTAGGGAGACTGGACAGAGAGCAGAGCAGAGCAGAGAGGATTTTGAATAAAACACACTGCAGGGCTTGTGTTTTGATCAAAATGAACAGGAGCCTCAGGCAGCCACAGCTTCAAAGACGGTGAAATTCGTACCATCGGGTACTGCTGCAGCCAAGGAGGTGGGGAGAGGGCTATCAGATCTGGTACCCTGGGCTCCCTCGGAGTCACTCCCCACTCGATGGCAGTTTTAGCTCCGGGTGGGGACAGAAGTGGCACCACAGGAAGAATATCAGTAAACAGGTAATGTCAAAGATGCACAAGAATCAAGTCTTGAGAGTTATTTTAAGAAAACTGGGAAGCATAAAAGAAAATTCAATGAACTAGGGAAGCAATATGAGGTTGCAGGTCAGTTGAACGCTTTTTCTAGGCTGCAAGAAACATGGAAGTATTTGTCACCAGAAGAGAAGAACTAACGAAAAGAAAGGAAAAAGAAAAATGGGAAGGAGGTAGAGAGGAAAGGAGGAAAAGAAAGAGGCAGAGGGGGAGAGAAGGAAATCAGAAGACAAGGATGTAAAAAATCAAGAACCAACTTACGCCAACTAAAGAGTCAATGATGCCTATAAATTATTATAACAACTCCATAATAGTAAGCATTTGAATATTGTAATACTATTGTGGCTATATTTTTTTTCATTGTTTTTATTCTTTATTGTCACCTTTTCCATGTTTTGGTGCCCGAAGTTGCAAACATCATGGATGTTTACACAAACACACATACACATATATACGAAACATGTATATAGGTTTAGAGTCCCAGGCGCAGCTATATTTTAAAATACTCTTTATCTTTTGGAGATACTAGGTATGATTACAAGATACGGTGAATATTTACATTTTTAAAACTATACTCCAGGAGCCAGCGGCCACCATGTGGAAGGGGAAGAAAATCAAGAAGGCAAACCATGACTTCCCATGAGCCAGCCAGTGCATGGGCTGGGAGACAAAGAGAGCAACCCGCCTCGATCCTGCACCCACCGTAAGCAACCGGCTGATTCGCAGGAACTCAGGCTGAGATGATAGCGCCTAAAGCTTACAAAAAAAAAACAAAACAAAACAAAAAAAAACCCCTTAGTGCTTGTATTGTTTGATTGACTTTGCAGGCCTAAAGCTGGTAGTCTGAGCATCTATTTGGAGGATAACAATATGCATTATAGCAATTATGGGGTATTTTCTTCTGCCTTGTTTTTGAAATCTAATGTTTTATTCTGTTCTACTGTTTTGTTTTACTCCTGTATCTGGTAACTGGAGCAACTATTCTGAGGATGACAATATGCAACCAATGTTAAATTTCTATCATCTTGTTTTGAAAACCTATATAGCTATTCTGCATTTTGTTGTTGTTTCGGTTTGTCTGCTTCTTGATTTTTCTATTGTTTCCCTCTTTAAAATAAAAATAAGTCAATAAAAAACAATACACTTCGGTAAAAGACACTCTGCCACTGACTTCCCTCAAAATACTCCGGCTTGCTTCAGACACACTTAGCCCATCCTCCTGCCATGCTCTGAAATGATCAGGGAAGCCCTCCTTCATGTCTTTAGTTGTGGTGTTATGGGCCCTCTACGTCCTGTATTGATTCCAAATGTTTTCCTTCATGCTCAGTTTCACTCTAAGGAACAGCCAGAAGCCACGCAGGACCAGATCTCACAAATGAGATCTATGATGCCACACTGTCTGTTTCGGCAAGCCTTCCTTTCTGTTGGCTGGTGGTATTCACAGCAGCATTCTCTATGTTTTTGATCATGCCTTGTAAAGTCACTCCGCAAAGAAGCCTCCAGAAGTGCTCCAGAGAGTGACAGAACCACAGGATGAGTATGTAGAACCAAGGGGGAATAATTTGACGGAATTAATGGGCAATGCGTCTTTTATAATATTAAACGGCTTTTAAAAAAATTGAAGCATCCACCAAGTATTGTGATCAGAACTCATATAGTTTAAAAGACTAGAAATGATATAATGTCTAAAAATTGTTTCAAAATCTCCAAGGCAGAGCTTAGGGGTGGAAATGGAAAAGGAGATAAGACTCCCCAAGATCTAGAACTGAGGCTCATTATTTTTACATGTATAAGTTTTTCCATAATTAAAAAAAAAAAATGAGGAATGAAGCGCTCAGCCCACTTCTTCCATGAAACTATCTTTTGGGGATTACAGAGGTCGCACTTTGCAATTCTAACAAGTGCAAAAATGTTCGACACATAAAATGTGGTAAAAAAAAAAAATAACAAAACCGTTTTTTTTTATTTTTTGTTTTTTGTTTTTTGGCCCGCTCCTCTTTGAATACCCAGCATCTTAAACAGGTCTGCACATATAGCAAGCAACCTACGAAGGTCCGTTGGTATAATACCTGAGGATTATAGCCTGTTTTACTGGACAAATGCTAGACATCTTTTTTATAAGCCCCTGTCTCATTCTTGGATTTTGCTCAGTACTAAATGTACCACATTAGAGTAAGTAAGTACTACTTACTTACTCTAAGTAAGTATGGATTGGCTGATCTGGTCAAAGGAAGACCTTCACCCTTCAAAGGGTGAAGATGTTAAAATAACCCATGGAAGGAACCAAAGATGGATCTGTCTCCCAAGAAATGATTTCAACAGTATTAAAAACTGCCACTACCTCTTTTTAACACAGGGCTCTTAACGAAGCATTTCCTAATTTCTCCATTAATCAGATTTTGAGAATCTCTGTTAAAGAGCTGTGATCCAAAAGGTTAAGAGCTCTGTTTTGAAAATTAGAAAACTTTTAAACAAAAGGAGGAGGAAGAGGAGGAGGGAGGAGAGGAGAAGGAGAATTAATAGTTGTAGTAGCAATGGTTGTCGTGGTAAAATTAAAGGCAGCAGATCATCAACATCAAATCATATTATATATGAAGACATAATGGTTGAATGTGCTCATATTCTAGACATAATTTAGACATAATTGTCATGTCTGATATCAGTCTCCCATGGTCCTCCACTCTCTCTGTAAATCATTTTTGTGCCTAGTTCTTGTCACCTGAACAACTACTTCTAAGATAACAACATGCAATAGATTAACTAGTGTTAATTTCCTATTTTTTTGAAATTCTGTATCATTTCCCTCCTTTTTTTTTTTTTTTTTGTTTTGCTTTTCAAAATAAAATTTTAAAAAAAATGTGAAGGCTCGTTGAGTCCAAGCAGGATCAGCGAAAGCCTGCAAGCGAGGGTTCATATCCTGCATCTCTCCATGTTTGAGTTTGGGGGCACTGGAGTGGGGATGACACCAGACAGAAGGCCTCACAGCTCTGCCTCTGCGAGGAGCCCTGCGCGGCGCGGGGGCGGCCAGCTCAGTCCTACCTCCTCCTGCATCCCGCACTCCAGCAGCATTGTCACGCACGCCTCGATGGGGAAGGCGATCTCCCGGCCACTGATGGAGAGATGCTCCTCCAGGGGCTTCCCAAAGGAAGGCTTCTCCACCCAGGCCTCTGAGGGAGAGAAGCAAGAAGGGATCAGTCTGAAGCCTGGAAGGTCATTCATGTTGAACCCGTTCTTTCCCTCTCTGCCTGGACTCTCTTGGGGCTGCCAAAGAAATGGGGACACCAATGAATCTTCATTCTTGTGGTGTTAGGGATGATGGAGACGAAAGCCGGAGTGGAGGGGTGACCAGCTACATCCAGCAAGGTGGGGTTAACGTAACCCACCCCGATCCAGCCCTGGACAGGGGCAGTGTGTGTGGATGGGTGTGCTTGTTCTGCATTGATCAAGAGCGCCTTGTGAAGTTCTGGTGACCCCATGGAAACTCGATCTTCAATGGCAGAGCAACAGGGCAAAGATGGGATCAGCCTCACCCGGCAGGCAAGCAGCTCTCCACCACCCCACCCCAACCCCAAAGCATGCGCTCACCTTGTTGTGCTTTTATCTGAGGCAACACAGCCTGCAGCAGCGTCAGTGATTTCCTGTGGTATTCAGCTTGCACTTCTATTAGCTGAGGAGATACAAGGGCCAGTGTTACCCTTCGCCAAGGCAACAACACAGGCTCCCATGGCATCCAAGTGCCTGCTCGTGGAGAAAGAAGCTGGGAGCCTCGCGGCTCCTTCCTCCGGTCCACAAGGGGGCATGCTTTTCCCTGTGGCACAGAGGAGTCACCGCATGCTGCGATTTGTACAGCAGGAGAACTGTGAAGGTACAGGGCAGCCTCCCCAGAGCTGGAGCCTAGCTTAGGGACCTTGCTTCAGTCACTCCCACACCACCTGGCACTCCTTGAAGCAAACGTCAGCAAAGAGGTTACAACAGACAGATGTAAATAGAAAAAAATTTTAAAAACCCACAACATGCTTATAAATCCACTTTCCCATAAGATACACAGGTGAAGTTTATATCTTGATTTCTATTTTTTTATATCTTGATTTCTATTTTTTTTTATTTTTGTCTATATCTTGATTTCTATTTTTGGCTGCCAGGAATCGAACTCATGACCTCATGCTTGCCAGGCAGGTGCTTGTGCCACTGAGCTAAATCCCCAGCCTTTATCTTAATTTCTCCCAAATTAGTTTTAATATAGGACATATCAAACAACACATAGCTTGAGCCATTATTCTCTTCAAGTGTGCTGGGAGGTAAAACTGCTGTGGCTGTGATGGTGGGGTCCACAGACCAAGTGCTTTCCGTGCATCCGACTGCCAGCATCCCATTATGTAAAAAGCAGGACAGAGGTTGACAAGGACCCCTGAAAACCCACGAGCTTCATTCATTTTCTGAAGGCCCCTCTTCACCCCTAAAATTGGGCATGAGAGGGAAGAAGTGCTCTGTGTGGGCTGGGGATTTAGCTCCGCGGCATAAGCACCTGCCTTGCAAGCAGGCGGTTGTGAGTTCCAGTCCTGGTACCGATAAAAAAAAAAAAAAAAAAATTAAAAGAAAAAGAAAAAGAAGTGCTCTGTGTAAGAGCTCATAGGGAATGGTGACCTCAATAACACCTTTTGCAGAGCAGAAGGGACATGACTGGGTTTCTAGGCCACATGACTGAGAAGGCTGGAAAATTGCAAAAAGCCTACTGTTATTTTATTATAGTCCGCAAGGCATTATACACTTGTCACAATTTTTCCTTTGGTCCCTCTTTACTCTCTCACCTCCCCGTTACATCTCTTTCTTGGCCATCTTTTTAAAAGTGTTCAGATTTCAGTGTTTTAGTCTCCACTTTAAAAGCGGGTAAGAAGGCCAAGCGTGGTGGCTCATGCCTATAATCCCATCACTTGGGAAGCTGAGGCAGGAGGAGGGCGGTGCGCTTCAAGCCAGCCTCGGCTACAAAGTGAGTTCAATGCCAGCCTGAATTGCATAATGAGAGCCTGTCTCAAAAAGAATAAATAAATAAATAAATAAATAAATAACAAAGGCAGGCAAGTATTTTCTTTTCTTTTCTTTTTTTTTTTTTTTTTTTTGTCTTTTTCCTTTTTTATCGGTACCAGGGATCAAACTCACGACTGCCTGCTTGTAAGGCAGGTGCTTATGCCGCTGAGCTAAATCCCCAGCCCCCAGTATTTTCATTTTTTGATATTGCCCTATCAATTTTTTTAATTGCCTTGCATTTACTTAGAAAACAACTACCTTCCTAATTATCTGAGCTGGATTACTTAAATTTTCAACAATCACATTCTGTCTCTTTCTGTTTCTCAGCTGTCAATCTGCTTCCACCGGTAAGAGGCAGGCAAACAGTCGATATTACTCATTATTTACCTACTCGCTACGGCAGGCACCCGAGGTGAAGTAGTTATCATCCACATCTCCTCGGGGCCCTAACGTTAGACACCATGGTTTCTCAAGACTGAATCTAGGGACGTTTTGGGCCAGATAATTCTCTGTTGCAGGAAGCTGCCCTGGATACTCCAACACATCCTTGGTCTCTTAGCTATTAGATGCTATGCCACCTTCCTCCCTAACTATGACAACTAAAAGTCTTCAGATATTGCTAGATGTCCACAAAGAAAGAAAGTGAAACTACTCTTAGTGAAGGATCATTGCCATAGACAACTAAGAGGCAGTCATTTTCAGGGACGAGGCTGGGATTTATTCACAGGTTTCTGAAAGAAATTTGGACAAGGAGCAATAGAATGCAGAATGACTCAGCTGTAGAAAGGTGAACCTCGACCCTCCTCCATCTGTGACAGTCAACCACCGAGAGTTCAGTCCCCACATCCCTGACTGTCTGCACCATGATTCTGGCTGGCGCATTTTTTGCAGTCTACTTTTCTGGACCCTTACCGTCTGAAAGTAGTTTGCATAGTCCATTTCTTTGGCCACAAAACTGTACATGTCAGCAGAGAGCTGGTCCTGTGGAAGAGGAATATAAAACCAAGGTAAGACATAAAATAACTGAATGGAGAAAGACGCTTAAACACTTTTTCACCTCCTTTTAATAACTTTTCCCACCAAGGACTCCACATTTTCCAAACACAGCCCTAGAGAATGAGTGAGTTTGCAAACTGTACCTGTGTGAGTAGTTTCCCCAAGGTTTTAGCACAGGGGTCACCCTACAGTTATGTGCAAAATACTTGCACACAGCTCTGTAACTGGCACCACCATTGTGATGCAGGCAGCAAGAACAGGCTGTGCTGGGGCTGGCCTTACTCCACCATTCCCCTCTGGCGACTCTACAGTCCTGCTCTCTTTCATTTATTACTGCTCATCAGCATATGGAAGAAATGCAGCATTTGGAGAAAACTTGCGTAAGACAGGTACCCAGGGGAAGGATTGCTGACTCAGCTGTCAGACACTGCTCATCCCGCATTCCACATTAATCTAGTGACGTCCACAAGCCTTCACCGGTCAGCTTTCCACAGGCTTGAGTGGCATCGATCTAATACTACACCGGAAGCTAAAATGTTTTATCCCCCAGAGAGTATTTTTTCCCCAGAGACATAGCCACAGCATCAGACTGTGAGTGTAGATTCAGAACAAGACACAGGCTCCATTGCTAGCTATAATTAAGCATGTCAGTTTGCTGAAATTGTTTGTGTAAGTCACAGGACTTCTAGGATCCTCGCAGGAGGTGTGCAGTTTGAGAAGAGCCCACGTGCTCAGGCTGAGACCATCCTGAGAGCAGCTCAAGAGAGCTCACCAGCACACTGAGGAAAGAGGGCTTCGCTTCGGGACAGGTTGCTTCATGGAAGCTCAAGCCGTCTGCACCACCCTGGCATCCCTCAGCCTTTCCCAGGAAGCCAACTCCCAGCGAAAATACTGGTTGTGCAGAAAAAATTGTTTCCTTTCAAGGAACTATGAGAAGCAAGTCACTACAGAAAGCGTCAATCGAGGGTTCTGGTATACAAAGCAACAGATCCAAATCAGAGATAAAGGAGGAAATCTGTCCTTTAAGGAGCTTTAAGCACAGATGAGTCCAGTTGCAGAAAACAAAAGATGAAGAAAATAAAATAACATTCACAGAGAACTGACGAGGTGTCAGCTGTGATGTTACGTAGAATTTTCAATTAAGCCTCCATAGAGAAGTATACCCCTAATTTTGGACCAGCAGGGGATAAGATCTTACCTATGTGTTGACCACTCAGCAGAGTGGGGGCTTAACTCTATTAATTAAATGAGAGTTGGCAAACCTCCCAAAGAATAAAAGGGCTCCAGGCCAGCAGAGGGTCCCTTAAGCAAAGCCCTTGGAGAGAAGGGGTGTCATCTGAGTGGACCTCGTTTCACCCTGTAGCCCTGCTGCTCAGGAAGCTGCCAGCTTGAGGGAGGCACTTCAGGACAGAATAAGTAAACAAACAAACAGCCCAGAAATAAAAATGGCTCAGCAGACAGAAGAAAGGAAGGGAGACCCTAAAAGACTAAATGCTGCATCAAACATCTCAACACTGGAGCTTCCTGGACAGATGAAATTGGAAAACGCGCTACGCATCCTCAGGAAGACGAACAGATTGTTGAAGGGCTGATGAGATTACTGTGTTACTGAGCTCACCGTCTGATTCCAAGCAAGCCATAGTGCGAGAAAGCACGGAAAGTGAAAACTGTAAGTCAAATTTCCATTTATCTAAATCATTTAAAATTTTTTTGAGGAAAAAAAAAAAAGACTTATCGAGTCAATGACCTTTAGAGTTTCATATGACTTGAAAAAAATCACATTTTCTAATTTTGCAGTGGATCTATACTCAGAAAAACATAACCAAATGTACTAGTCATTTCAGTAGACAGAGATCACCACTATAGACACAGAGGCATAAGCACTTTGTAGTTTTCTCTGCAGTCTGATCTTTCTGTATGATTGTTTGGTTTATAAAAATGAGACTGGACTGTTTTGTAGGTTAATTACTCCCAGATAAACATTGTTTATAATAGCCCCATGTTTTATCATAAGGATAAACTCCGTGTTTCTACTGTTGGATATTGTGTTTCTATTTTTTCACTACTATATTTATTTATTTAAGTACCAGGGATCAAACTCATGACCTTGCACTTGCCAGGCAGGCACTTATGCCACTGAGCTAAATCCCCGACCCTCTAGTTTTTCACTATGATAATGACAGCTGAATAAATATGTTTGCACATGTTTGTACCCCTCCTTGATTATCCCGTGATAAGATCTGTGGTTAAAATTAATCCTGATGATACAACATTCATAGTTAATTAAAAACTTGAAAAAGAAAATAATGTTTGGTACTCTGATACACACTACCAAACAGCAACCAGAAATATCACCATTTATACTATGAAGTATAATTTACAAGTCTTTTGCTGGCTTTCCACAATAAACTCTTTTGTTGTTGTATTGGTTTATTTTTTTGGTTTTTGAAACAGGGTTTTCTAGTAGTAGACCTCTGAACTTACTATGTACCAGGCTGGCCTTGAACACCTACCTCAGCCTCCTGAGTCCTGGGATTACAGGCATGTACCGCCATGCCCAGCTATACACTCTTTATTGTGCTTAATCACTATGAAATTAAAATTAATTAATATCAAAATTAAAATGATTTTAATTTGTATTTTTCATGATGTTGTTTCTTGTAGACTTATTAACTTTGTCAAATTTATTTTATTTATTATCCATTGTCAATCTGTTGTCAATAGACAGTATCATTTTTCTTTCTTGCGAGGCCTCGTCTTCTTACAGTAAATTTGTAAGAATTCTTTCCATTGAATAAATAATTGATTTCATTAAATACATGAATATTTCCACCCAATTTCCCATTTGCCTTCTGGATCATTACCACATTAGGGGACATACTGTGTCTTTTTATCTTGTATGCTATTAAGTTTTGTCATGATTTTCTCCTTCGGTAATATGCTGTCCTTAGAACTTCTCAACCAGCACTATAAAAGTGCACATATATGTATAAAAAACTGTATAACTTCTAAATGCTTAATAAATTTGGGACTCCTTTTGGTATTTATCTCCAGAAGATTTTTTTCTCCCATCAGATAACTAAATGCCCCAGAACTGTTCATAAATAGAACAGACTGAGCCTATGGATTGGAAATGTTGTATTTACCAGAAAAACATTTCTTATATACTTAGCTCTTTTTTAGGCTGGGGCATCTCCGCACTAAATAGTCTCTATTTCTGAAATAGTACCTAAATTATAATTATGTGGCCCTATGCTACACTTTGAGATAGTAATTCAATACGCGCAGACTCCTCCCATTATTTAACTTTAGGTTTTTTGTTTGTTTGTTTGTTTTGGTACCAGGGATCAAAATCACAAGCACACACTTGCCATGCAGGCGCTTATGCTGCTGAGCTAAGTCCCTGGCCCTTACATTTAACTTTAGAAACCTTTTATTACTCTTTGAAAAATTTACTGCACTTATAGCTAGTTACCACAACATTACACCAATTCATCACATTAATTTCAGATAATCCAAGCTTTATAATATTAGCCACTCTCCACCCAGGAACATTTCTCTTAGCTATGCAGTCTTTGGTTTTTTTTTTTTTTTTAGCAAGAGTTTTAAAAATCTTAAACTTTATACTAACAACCAAAAAAAAAAAAAAAAAAAAACCCAAAGTAAAACATTCCCTTCCTCAAACAATGAATAAGAAAACAACAATACAAGCAAGTAAAAATCAAAACTCAAACCCCCACACACATCGAAGTGGCTGATCAGGAACCAGAACCAGCCAGGTGTGGTGGTACACATCTGGGGGGCTGAGGCTGAAGAATCAAAAGTTCAGGCCCCAGCCAGGCAATTTAGCAACTTGGTGAAACTGGGAATGTGGCACAGTGTGAATGCCCTGGGTGTGTGTTTGTGTTTGTGTAGAGATGCCAGTCTCCATGAGGTAAGGCAGAACCAGAGTGTGTGTGTGTTTGTGGAGAGATGCCAGTCTCCATGAGGTAAGGCAGAATCAGAGCACAGTGTGAATGCCCTGGGTGTGTGTTTGTGGAGAGATGCCAGTCTCCACGAGGTAAGGCAGAACTAGAGTGTGTGTATGTGTGTGTGTGTGTGTGTGTGTGTGTGTGTGTTTGTGGAGAGATGCCAGTCTCCATGAGGTAAGGCAGAACCAGAGAGAGAGAGAGAGTGTGTATGTGTGTGTGTGTGTGTGTGTGTGTGTGTTTGTGTGTGTGTGTGGAGAGATGCCAGTCTCCATGCAGTAAGGCAGAAGTGTGAATGCCCTGGGTGTGTGTGTGTGTGTGTGTGTGTGTGTGTGTGTGTGTGTGGAGAGATGCCAGTCTCCATGCAGTAAGGCAGAACCAGAGCCCAGTATGACAGGACTGTTATAATCATCAGGTTAGAATTGAAACATGAAAAACTGTACAGAGTAACGAAGGCTTTAATACAAAGGAAAGTAGACAATGTAAAAGAAAGGACAGACAGATGACAAAAGAGATAGAAATGCTACGGAAGAATCAAACAGAAATCCTAGAGATCAAAGCCAGTAGACCAGAAATGAAGACTGCCATGGATGAACACATTAATGGACTGAAGCCAGCTGAGGAAATCATCTCTGAATTTATAGTTATGACAACAGAAATATATTCAAAATAGAAAAGCAAAAGCAAAAAAAAAAAAAAAAGACTAGGAAAAGGAACAGAATACCCAAGATCTCTGGGGCCACTATGGAAGATGTTATAATGAGAATATCAAAAATAGAAGTCAAAAACCTCTAATCTGAAATACCAAACTGAATTTCTCCAAAATCTGCAATTTTTTGCATGCTCACATGACATTTTAAGGAGAAAATTCCACACCTACCCTCGGTGGTTCACAGCCAAGACTCAGGGATTCTAAAAATATTGTATAAAATGACTTCAGATTATGCATATAAACCATATATGAAACGTAAGTTAATTTTGTGTTTATCCATGGGTCCTGTGCACAATATACCTCAT